TCAAGTCCTGACTCCACTTCAAATTCAAGCTTCTTGGTAAAGCATATGATGGAGGCAACAGCTGATGACTCATGTATGTAAGCTCCTGCTGCCCATGTAGGAGATCAGCTTGACTTTGGCCTGGCTCAGTCCTGGCTGTTAAACACATATGGCATGTAATTCACCAAGTGGAAGACATCTAAAGTCTCTCTGCAATTCAAATAACAATAAGTAAATAATTTTAAGAGTTTGGTTTTAAACAGGTTCATTTGTAATTAGGCAGCTAGATGGGTGATTACTGATTTCCCATAGACAAAATAGGCATGAGTTAAAGCTCTTGGAAATAGTTTTCACTTCTGGATAGTGTCTTCCTGTTCTGGCATTGATGTGATAGTAAATTTTAAAAAGAAGAAAAGAAGTTCCTTTCCTTTTTCCCCCTTCACCTTCCCTCCCAGAGCAATCAGTGTCATGTTCATTCAGGCTTACTCAGTTCTAAGAGTAGTCAGCAGAACTGGCATTACGCTCTTTCCCCACACCCTTGGTGATTTTTTGCCTGCAATTCTTTGGATTGCACTCCACCACCTGTGTTATTCTTCCTTATTGTACAGGTACTATTTTAGCTCCATGATTTTAAAATTCTTATTGGAGAGGTAGTTGTATAAACAGAAGGAAAAGACAGAGAAAGATCTTCTGACGACTGGTTCATTCCCTAATGGGCCGCAATGGCTGGAGCTGAGCTGATCTGAAGCCAGGAGCTCATGCGGGTGCAGGGTCCCAAGGCTTTAGGCTGTCCTCGACTGCTTTCTGAAGCCACAAGTAGGGAGCTGGAAGGAAAGGAGTGTCCATGTGGGAGCCCATCAATTGCAAGGCAAGGATTTAGTCATTAGGCTTACCATACTTTGCCGTTAGCTCCATGATTTGAAATAAACAAAATCTGCACATCATCCACCCATTCCTGCTTCAGTGAGAGTAAATTAGCCTGTTGAGAATGCCTGACAAGAGGCTGATGGGACTATGTGTGCTTTGAGGTGTTGTGAAGATGAAAAATCAAAAAAGGTATTTTGTTCTGTTTATTCAGCATCTGCCCCTTGGCTTCATGTCATGATATTCTTGAGACAATGAGCACCAGCTGATGTAGTCCAGGAACACATTGTGTGTGTTGGGAGCGAACCAAATAGTAATTTTATGCTGTAAGAGAAGTGTGTACAGTCAGTGTAGTGGGGAAAAATGGTTAGAGTTCTCAGTGGAGTTTCAACCTTGAACTGAATTATAAGATTAAATCCCTATTTGTGAGAAGTCAAGGCCTAAGGAGAAGAGTTTACTAAGAACAGCATGTAAAAAGGCACAAAGCTGTGAGTTTTAGTTTGGGGAACAAGAATCAATTTTGATGTGGTTGAAGTTAAGGAAGTCAACTGGAGAGACAAGTGCCAGACCCAAAAGAGTCCTATTTTTTTTTTTTATTAACTCAGTTATAAACAAAACAGAAAGTCTGAGAGCTGCAAAATACCCTTTTTTAAAGAAGGGGTTGTATTTTTTAAAGAGTGACAAAGAGGGAGAGGCACAGTGAGAAAGAGAGATCGAGAGATCAATCTTTGTTATTTAGCTAGTAGCCAGGAACTTGATCTGGATCTCCCATGAGTGGCAGGAGCCCAGGTACTTGGGGCAACTTCCCCTGCCTTCTCCCAGTACATTGTCAGGAAGCTGGACCAGAAGCAGAGTAGCCAGAATTTGAACCCACATGCCAGTATAGGATTCACCTTCTGTACCACAGGGCTGGCTCTCAAAATAGAGATTTTTGAAAGCTGAATTAAAGAAATATTTTAATAAGGTACAGTAGCAGTAAGAACCATTGAGATATAATATTTTGTTAATAAATCTCTTTTAAATTGTCTGCAGGTCTCTTTTTACCTTAATTATAGAAACTTTGGTAGAAAATTTCAAATAAACATAAAGTCATTATCTTTACTTATGAAAAACATTGAATGAAAAGGTTAGGCAGGAGCTGGTAAAAGCAGAGAGTTAGTAGCCTGTGGGCGCTGCTTTGTGTACCGGCAGCCCCGCTTCCCATCCAGCTCCCTGCCTGTGGCCTGGGAAAGCAGTCGAGGACAGCCCAAAGCCTTGGGACCCTGTACCCGTGTGGGAGACCTGGAAGAGGTTCAAGGCTCCTGACTTTGGATCGGCGCTCCTCCAGCTGTTGCAGCTGCTTGGGGAGTGAACCAGTGGAAGGTCTTCCTCTCTGTATATATGACTTTCCGATAAAAATAAACAAATCTGTATTTTAAAAAAAAAACGGGATGCACGTCCACTTTGCAATGGCAGGGTCCACAGCTTCCATCTGTCAGAATGTTCGTACCAGGCAGAATGGTTGAGCGGCACTGCCGTAGAAGGGTGTGTCATGTATATACTGGTAAAGGGCTACGGTAGGAACAGTGGTCTCCCCAGAAGACAAGATGTTTACAAGCTCGTTCAGATAACATTGCTCTGAATGAATTACCTATACCTCATTGATGTTCCCAAGTATTTTAAAGATTCCTACTTACACTAGGAGCCAGATTTATGGGCTACTCTTTACTATAGGGAGTAGCCCTGATATCTGTCTGGGAAACTTCTCCAGATGATTTTTGGTAAATGTCTTTGGTTAAAAACCACTGGCATTATTCCCTGGGGATAAGGATTTTTTGTATCTTATATCGCAAATGCTTTTATCAAATAGTTGATTCTATACCAAATAGTGGGATAGGACTAGTTTATTTAAAAGGTGATGGTATTGAATGATCATTTATATTTTGAGACTTTTATGTGACTCACCAGTAATGTACCCTCATCATTCCAGTTTTCACTTCTTTTTTGTTTGCTTTGGTTTTTCAGGTTCACTTACTGATTTGGAAGGTAGCATTATAGAGAGAAGGAGAGGTGAAGATACACAGGTGCTCTGTCACGCGCGCGCACGCACACACACACACACACACACACACACACACACACACACTATTTTGATGCCTTTGTTTGAAATCATAGTTCTTCATTTTTAAAATTTTTTTAAGGATTTTATTTATTTTTATTGGGAAGTCAGATTTGCAGAGAGGAAACTCTTTCATCCAGCTATTCATTCCCCAACGGCCGGAGCTGAACCGATCTGAAGCCAGGAGCCTGGAGCTTCTTCTGGATCTCCCACACAGGTGCAGGGTCGCAAGCCCTTGCACCATCCTCTATTGCCTTCCCAGGCCACAAGCAGGGAGCTGGGTGGGAAGTGGGACAGCCAGGACTGAACTGGTACCCACATAGGATCTGGCATGTGCAAGGCAAGGACTTCATCCACTAGGCTACCACCTCGGGCCCCAGAAGAGTTCTTTCTGATTTTCTGCTTCATGTCAAATGAATTCAGTAAATACCTTTTCCCCAGATGCCCATAGCTGGAATAAATCTTTAAGTAGTGTTTTTAATTAACATATATTAAAGAATGCCTTATGCCCCTTCTTGCTGGCATCAGTTGCTCCAATTGAATCAGCAGACTCAGTCTTTTCAAGAATCCTGCCTGCTCAGCATTTTGGATTTTGAGAACCCTGTTGGCTCAGAATTTTTCATGTCCTGCTTTGTGATGGGTTAGAGACTTAGGCTTGGGGGTTGGAGGTTAAAACACAGGATACAAGGAAAGTAACTGGGATAGCGTGAACAGACAAAGCAAGTGTAGAGGAGGAAATAAGAACGCAGTTTAAAATCAGTATGATGGGGCTGACACTGAGATTAACAGGTTAAGACTGCCTGCGATGCCAGCTCAAGTCCTGGCTGAACTACTTCTAATCCAGTTCCCTGCTTATGTACCTGGAAAAGAGTCAGAAGATGGCCTAGTCCATGGGCATCTACACCCACGAGGGAGATTGAGATGAAGCTCCTGGCTTCAGCTTGGCCCAGAGCTGGCTGTTGTGACCATTTGAGGAGTGTACCAAGGATATTTGGATCTCGTAGTTGAAGTTTTGAAGAACAAGTGGCTATATTTTTGATATGTAGGCGTTTGCAGTAAAGAGAGGGTGAGGGAGAGAATGGTGGTAGCAGACTATCACTGTTTTTCCTTTTTCTTTTCAGAGCAAAATGAGAGGGATACAGGCATGGTGACTGATCACAGAATTTGCCCAGAGAAATGTTCTCCTGCAGTGCCAAGAGCATAGATGGGAAAGGCACTAGTGACAGAAACCAGTGGGAGGTGGTGGTTTAGAGCAGTTCTCTTCCTACTCTGATTTCACTGTATATTAGTCTTATAATCTGCTGCAGTAGATTTTGCTTATTCCTGACTGTAGGCACCAGTGTTGCCCCAAATAAAGCATTTATTGTAGCTTCCCAAAAAACAGCATGCTCTGAGTTGAGCAGATCTGATAGAAAAATCACAGCCTACGAGTTTACAGTATGAGAAAACTCAGTTCTTGCTTCAGGGCTGTTCCTTCTCTAATGGTCAGGCTCACCAGGGTTTGACCCAATGAGCTTGTCACAGTCATAGGCCCCAGGAGAGAGTATCTGAAAAAGATAAAGAGGTGGTAGGTACTAGATATGGAGGAGGAAAGAATCAAGTTTAGAGGGAGGCATAGCTGAGCTTCAATACTGGTTCTTTTTGTACTAGTGATGTGGTGAGTGTTACCTGATCTTTCTGAGTGCCAGTTTCCTCATCTGTTATACAAGAAGAGACTGATGTCCATCGTGTTTGAGATGGCTCTAATGAGAATTAGGAATATTCTGAACTGGCACTTAGTGAGCAGTATCTGCTATTGTAAATAATCACAGAGGTGGGAAGTAACTGAACAGATTATTCTATGTGTAGAAGTTGTGCCATGAAGACAGCCCTGCTGGAGAGGCTGAGGCAGTGACAGTGGAGTAAGCAGGGCAGAGAGACTAGTGTGTCTTGATTTTGGGGGACCTGCTCTAACTGAGAGGAGCACAGCAGGGAGGTGTGTTGCTAGACACCTAACTGCTCTTCCTCCCACCTGGTTTCCTTTGTCGCCCTCATTTTTCCCTTGTTGCTTTCCTGGTAGGTGGCTGTGAAAAACAATATTGATGTTTTCTACTTCAGCTGCCTCATCCCACTCAATGTGCTTTTTGTAGAAGATGGCAAAATGGGTAAGTCTGTTCATACAACCCTCTGCCCTTCTTCTCGATGTCGGGCAGGGTGTAGCCCCAGAAGTACAAGCTATTTTGAAGTCTTAAGAAACAAACAAAGAAAAAAAGGTAAGGATAGTCTAAAGCTCTGATAATGGTCCAGTATTTATCCATCTGGCAGTTATTCCTTCTCTGCCACTGGTCTCTAAAAGCACAGTGCCCGTTATTCTGAATGGTCACCTGCTCTACATACAGGCTGCAGATTCTTAGGGTTTGGAGACAGATGAATGTGGGTTAGAATTTTAACCTTGCCATTTCTTGAAAATATTTGTTTATTTGAAAGGCCAAGTTACAGAGTTTGGGGGCATGGGGTTGCACAGTGAGGGAAGATAATGATAGAGACATGTTCCATCTGCCAGTTTACTTCCTAAAAGGGCCAAAACCAGGGGCCAGAAATTCCACCTGAGCATCTGACACGGGTGACGGGGCTCAAACACTCCAGTTAACTCCCACTGCTTTCGCAAGTGCATTAGTAGGAAACCAGATCAAAAGTGGAGCAACTGGGCCTTGAGCTAGTGGTTCTGTGGCTAGTCACAGGCAGCAGCTTAATGTGCTGTGCTGTAGCACCCAGACACATAATGGCGAGAACCCAACTGCTTAAGCTGTCATTTGCTTCCTCCTAGGGTCTGTTAGCACAAGATGGGAACTCAACTTTGGCACCCCAGCTTGGGACTTGAGTGTGTTAACTGCCAAGTTAAATGCCTGCCCTAGAATTCAGTAATTTGAATAAATCATTAGTACTCCCTGGGAGATTATTGACATTGCTCTCTTCGCTTTCTTGTGAAACCACCATCTGAGAAAACTAGCTTATATTGGTACATATTAAATTATATTAACACTTAATTGATTTGATTCTCACAGTGGCTGTTTGGATAGGCAGGACAGATACTCAGAGGCACCCAAATAGGAAAGCAGAAGAGCTACAGCCACGCTTTAGAATAAGCTCTTTTCTAACTTATCAGTGCTTTTGATGAATGATTAGTTGGCTGGGTGTATAGGACTTCTGTATCACTAAGAATAGCTGCAGGCCCAATTTGCAGCCAGCTGTATTACTAGAGCCAGCATGATGAAGAAGAAATGATAAGGGCATGAGAAACAAGAATACTAACACTCTATATACATCTGTTCTTCCCCTCTGCTTCCCCGTACAGAACGCCAGGTCTTCCTTGCAACATGGAAGGATATTCCCAATGAAAATGAACTTCAGTTTCAGATTAAGGAATGTCATTTAAATGCTGGTAAGTAATATCTCCAAATTCCACTTCATTTTAGCCAAAATAAATACTTGAAATGCAAGTTTTTAAAACCTCATCTTTCCACATCTCACCAGTGTGTTTTTAATGAGTATATGTGAATACTTGGAATATACTGATGTATATGATACTAGATTACTTATGAGCTAACACATTTAGGAAAAATAACTAGAATGCAACTGTCTGCCCAGTTCCTGAGTAGGTGAAAGATGTGTTGATCATATTATTGTTCATCCTAAACGTTAAGTAATTGAAGTGGCATTTGAAATATGCAGTTTTATAAGAGTTGAAAGGGCCTTCTCTTCTTCTCTGTCAGTCTTTGCTATTGGAGGAAAGGTGACCAAGTCTGTATATAGAATCTTATATTTATAATTAGACAGTGTGTCATGTTGATTAAAGCCTGATGTCTTGTGTCAATTTCCATATGATGATTCTAACTTTAAATCATTGTTTAAAAGTCCCAGATTGTTTTGTCATGATTTTATCACTGTGTTAGTAATACCAAAGGAGTAACTCCAAAGAACAGCTGCTCTCAGCCTCTGGAGCTTTGTAACCTGCAGCGTTCTGAGGAGTGCCAGGGGACCTAAGCTGTTCTGTCCTACTGACTGAGTTTCGTGTGTGTGTGTGTGTTCATCTGTCCATCCATCCATCCGTCCCCTAGGCAATTAGGACAGGGCTTTGGGAGTTGGGTGAAAGTGAGCTGTGGTGCTTGGGCAGTACCTCTTCTTTCCTTCTCCATCATTTCCTCCTCCCTGTAAGTACGTTAGTGGTTCTCAGCAGGATTTTCAGTACACTGCCATCCTCTCATTGCAGCTGGAGTCGGCCACTAGGGGAGGGCAGCAGTAAGGCAGTAGAGAAGGTAGAAGAAATCTACCTTATCTCGATTTTTCCATTTTAAATTGGGGGCGGGGAGGAGGGCCTCTGTGTTCTATCTGTCTTCTGTATCCAGGAGGATTTCTCCATATACAGCCTTTGATGAACCCCAGCTGGAAATAGTGATCAGACTCTTTGTAAGTGGGATGAATCCTGTAGAAGCTCTCAGACTTCCAGGAACCTGATGTGCTGCCTAAATCCCTCAGAAATCAGAGACAGATCAGCATCTTTGACTGTAGAAACTTCCAGCCAAAATTAGTTTCTGATAATGGTTAATATCTTTTGAGCCCTTAGTTGCTTCTATGATTTACCTAGAAACAAGTAATTTGTTGATTTTCTTCATGTTGTTCCACGCTTATAAGTGGAAGGCAGTGTCACTGGTTCCTATCTTTGAGGCTCACTACTCAGTTACCATGAACTCACATTTTTTTGAGTTCATGATGTTGGGCAACTTTCCACAGTAGCTGTTTTTCTTCAAGAAGCCCTTGGATGCAGAATCCACAGTGGCTAAAGGCGAGAACCAAAGTGAATCCTATTAAAGCAGCCTCTATACACAGCCTGGAAGAGACCACCCCCTGGGTATAGTTGCCCTCACTGTTGTGAGATGGCAGCATTTCAAATGATGCATTCCAGAGAATACTTGGCCTTCAAGAAAAAGGGTGTGGGGGCTCTGGTCTCTTGAAGTTGAAAAATGTACCTCTCTTGGAAGTTGTCTTTACAGGTTAACACACTAAAACTGTAAGAAACCTGTTTAGTTCAGTATTAATGGAATTTGATTTTAAAAACACAAAGCACTTATTTTTAAATTTTTGGGTATTAAAAAATATTTACTTATTTATTTATTTAAGAGAACCCTCATCTTCTGATTCATTCCCAAATGCCTGCAACTGTTTGGGCTAGGCCTTGGACCAGGAGCTGGAAGTTTAATCCAGATCTCCCACATGGATGACCAGAGCTCATTTACTTGAGTTATCACTGCTGCATTAACCAGAAGCAAAATTGGGAGCTGGAACCAGGAATTGAACCCAGATACTTAGATATGGACCAAAGGAGTTTTAATCAGCATCTTAAGGTGCTTGGCCAAACCACTATGTACTAGTTTATAACATCTTTTGGAGCACCAGCGTTCCTTGAACATCGTCTGGGAAACTGGCCAATAGAGAAAGGCCAGAGTTACTAGAAAGTAGGATTGGTTTCTCTGGTTTTGTATGAAAACTTTATGCTTTCCCGTAAAAGAAAATGGAAGTTTGAGTAACAGGTCTCTAGTCTGGCCTGCCAGAATAATACTAAGGAAAGATCCCTCTGCCAGGCTGAAGTTCTGAACCTTTGCTGTATCTTGGTGTATGTGTTTGTGATCTTGCCAAGGAAGAAATGCCTGGCCTTTATCCCAGTGGGGTGTGTTTGATCAGTGTAATCATGGCCTGGTGCCAGTCCCTTCTGCCCTAAGTATTCCAGATACCAACGAATCTATCTTCTACTGATACACTGCTCTGCAACAGTGTAGCACAGGAGCCCAAGGCCACCATCTTCCCGCGCTGAATCACTGCTAATCTTGCTAAGACCACTTCCTGTAATTAATCCTTTCTAGTTTTTCCTTTGACCCCAGTCCCAAGTCTGTAGTGGCCTGGCCTTTGCATTTCCTTCCAGCCTGAGGACTCTATTAACATGAGCATTTTCCGGTTTAGTGCCTTCTGATTCAACACCCTGGGTCTAGCTGAGAGCTAAAAATACCATCCTTTCCAGCTGATCTGCTCTAATCACAATAGCACCAGCACTTTAAATAGCTTTTCTGTGCTAGCATAGACATTCGACAGATGGAACGAATGCTCAGGGCTACAAGAAGTCACGGGCTTAAGGACTTAGCAACCACAGATAGAGCTTTTACTTCTGCTCTTTCATCTCTTTGTAGAGAAGAAAAAAAATCTTCCAAAGTCTTAATAATTGATTAGCTCTTAATAGAAAGGTGCATGTGTTGGGATGTTTGTGATCCCATTAGTTGTTTAACTGCTAGGAAATGCTGGGTCAGAAAGTACAAATCAATAGGACCTCCTGCTTCCTACCGTGGTTATTTCTGTCTATGTCAGAGGACCTATGTGAATTTGGTTTGCATCTGTCCGTTAAAGGTGCATGTGTGTTAGTTTGTATCTGGGATCACTACCTTAAGTACACAAGAAGTAGGTACATCTTTAGCCATGACCAGAAATAAATCTTTGTGACAAAAGCATTTGTACAAACCTGATGGACTTTCAAAACTTTTTATTTACTTGTTTAATTTAATTTGAATGGCTTAAAGAGATTTCCTATCCTCTGGTTCACTGTCCAAATGATCACAGTAGCTGGGACTGGTCCAACCTAAAGCTTGAAGCCAGGAACTCAATCCGGATCTCCCAGGTGGGTGGCAAGGACCCAACTACTGAGCATCACCTGCTGTCAGTCTCCCAGAGTGCACATTAGGAGGAACCTGATGAAGTCAGGAATAGAACAGGCATTCAAACCCAGACACTCTAATACGGGATGCAGGTGCCACAAGCAAAACCTTATTCACTAGGCCAGATGCCTGCCCACAAACCTGTTTTCAGTTATTATTTTGATGTTGGTTTTTACTCTAAAAAGCAGAGACGTCTTTACAAATAGGCACTCAAGTAAGATGTAGCTATGTCTTCTAGCATAGTGACTAGCTAAGAATGAGGTCTGTTTCTTTGCTTGTGGTTGCCCATCCTTTGGGCCATCCCAAAATGTAAAGGCTGGATCTGGCATGTGGTACGGGAAGTTAAGCCACCACCTGCAATACTGGCATCCTATGTGAGTGTCAACTGTAGTCCTGGCTGTTGTGCTTCTTATACAGCTTCCCTCTAATGCATCTAGAAAAGCAGTAGAAAATAGTCCAAATACTTGAGCCCCTGCCACCCGTGGAGGAACCTGGTTAAAACTCCTGGTTTCATCTTGGCCCAGCACTGGCCATTGTGATCTTTAAATAAAAGTAAACTCTTTGTTTTTCAACAGGAATAGTCATTTTGGACTTGCTAATACATACCACAGCAAAGCCCCCAAATACAGATTCCCCCCATTGCCAATCTGTAGTCCCAGTGCCCTCTTCCCCCTCAGTGCTGCTGGAAGAGGTATGGCCTAAGCTAAGGGAGAAAGATACAAGGAAGACCACATCCATAGCCCTTAAGAGTTCAGGCTCCAGATTGCAAGAACCAAATGGGCAGAAGGAGACAAATGAACCAGACAGAAGTCACATCTTGAAGCAAATGTAACCATATTTAGTCATCTTTTTTTGATCTGTGCTTTGTGGGAAGATCTCAGTGTCTTCTAACTCAGATGATATCATCAGCACACACTGAAACAATTAGCATCACATTCTCCTCTCAGAGTCTCATAACCAAGCTTCCATGGAGGGGAAAAACAGCCAAATGAAAAATGTGTTACCTTCTGAGTGAGTCCAGCCCAGTCTCTCTGGAATGACTTGTTACATCTGGCTCTCATGCCACTCTTTATCTCTTGTTTTGTTTTGTTTTGTTTTGTTTTAATCTGCTGCCTCCCCAGATCCCAGAAGCAACTCCCTAACTTGGCCCAAACTGAGAACTCAATCCAGGTCTCACACATGGGTGGTAGAGACCTCACTGCTTGAGCCATCACCTGTTGCCTTTCAGGAAGCTCTGCTCCCAGATGTGGGCATCCCAAATGAAGTCTTTTTTTTTTTTTTAAGATTTGTTTATTTTTATTACAAAGTCAGATATACAGAAGGGAGGAGGGACAGAGAGGAAGATCTTCCATCCACCGATTCACCCCACAAGCTGCCACAACAGCTGGAGCTGAGCCAGTCTGAAGCCAGAAGCCAGGAGCTCCTCCAGGTCTCCCACACAGGTGCAGAGTCCCAGAGCCCTGGGCCGTCCTTGACTGCTTTCCCAAGCCACAAGCAGGGAACTCGAAGAGGGGAAGCAGGGCTGCCGGGATTAGAACTGGCACGCATATGGGATCCCAGGCGTGCAAGACGAGGACCTCAACCACTGCACTATCACTCTGGGCCCCCAGATGAAGTCTTAACCATTATGCAAAATATCTGTCCCCACACCATTCCCAATCAGTACACTTAACAGAACCTGATTGTCCCATAGTCTCTAAATCCTCAAACTCAAACCTGCCTTGTAAAATGTATAGAAATTGGCTCATACTTGCACATGTTATAGAGTCTTTCCTCCAATTAGTCTTCTAGTAGAAATTATTTGACAGGAGCAGTTTCTGGTCAAAATGTTTCCAAATAAAATTGTAGCCATTTCATTTGTATGCTGCCTGGCTGGTTTTTGTTCTTGTTGTTTTGGTTTAATTAGATTTAGCTTTTGTTGCTGTTGTTGTTGTTTCTCTAATTCGTCGAGGACAGAGATAGTTCTTTTCTTAGTTTGTCTTCTCTTACAGAAGTGGTCATCCTCTGAGTGTTGGAATGTGGGCCTGTTTGTCTAGTCTACAATATGTTTGTGCTACAGGGTTGCTGTTCAACAGAGGCTCCTACTCCATGTGGGTGCTGTTGTGTGTAGTTGTAGGATATGGACAAGAGCCATGAAAGCTAGCAGTGACTTTTACAACCAAAAGCAAGCCCCTACATGATAAAGACGACGCTTTCAAAAGTCATCCAGCTCCAGCTGGTGACGTTACCTAGCAACCTAACAGCTGGAAGAGCCTTCCACTGTGGAAACCAGATAGGAACCAGAACCACCTGACCACCCCAGGCACATTGAGGCCCGTCCCTCCTGTAGTGCTGCATGTAATGACCTTAAGAAAGTGTCTTTGGTTCTTCAAATAAAGCCAATTCTCAAGCAGTAACTACTCTACATTTTGAGTTGGTGACTGTGATGACTTCATTACTGCCAGCAGCAACATTTGCCATTTCATAATAGTGATCACCTTTGCATAACTTCAGTCTTTTGTGGATACTGTTTACTAATTTGGAGTTGCAGTATTCCCTAAAGGATTAAGAAATCATTTCCTGGCTTTTGAAAACAAAAATCGTTGTTGCCTACAGATAGATGAATTTGGGCCAGCAGGATTTCTGTGCCTCTGTGCGGGTGCCTGACCCTGCTGGCTGAGGCTCAGGGGCTCAGGAGGTAGTGGGTGGCTCAGAGCTCATTAGACCCACCTGTTTCGGGGTCTCTCACGGTAACCCCTGCAACTGGCATGGTTGCACCTTTTTCTGTTTTCTACCTGGAAACCGATCAGGTACTTCATGAGCCTGTTCTTTACCTTTGCTGGTGTGTGGGAGAAGTACTTTGTGAAATATGTGAGTGTGCACATTCCTTAGAGCGACTCAAGCACACTTGACTGAATAGGATGTCAGCAGAGAGGTGGTGTGATTTCTTTGAAATGTTAACTGAAGGCATTGGGCTTTGACTCTGTCCTTCTAGACACTGTCTCCAGCAAGTTGCAGAACAACAATGTTTATACGATTGCCAAGAGGAATGTGGAAGGGCAGGACATGCTGTACCAATCCCTGAAGCTCACCAATGGCATTTGGATTTTGGCTGAACTCCGTATCCAACCAGGAAACCCCAATTACACGGTAAGGCCTTTCTTGGCATGAGTGACTGGATTAGAGCAGGGGAGGAAGAACTTTTTTTTTCTTTTCTTCTTAGCACCTTGGAAGAACTTCTAGAAGAGCTCAGTCCTGAAATGCCTGAAACAAGCCATCACTAGAGAAGCCCCACATTGCTCCAGCAGAAGATCTTTCTGCAGTGTCTGCCCCATCCAGCAGTCACCATGCCCCTGGCAGCAGAGCTCTTACTGCTCATGGTGTTTAAGAGTTGCCCATAAAAACTTGGCATCTTCGCCTTCAGTATCGTTAGTACTTAGCTGTGCATGTGATACTATAATCAACAACTAGAGAAAGTGTTCATGTAGCTAAGTACAAAACATCCCTGCTCTTGTAGCTGGTGACATAAGAATATCAGTCATGAAGAGGAGTCTTTTTGTGGCCTGAAATACTTGTCAGGAAAGCTGAGGCAGAATGAAACAAGCCTTTAGCTTCCTGGAAGAGGCCTTTGGTTTTGGTAACTTTCTTTAGTACTGCGCTGAACTGGAATAAAAAAGTCTGTCAGTACTCACAGGGCGGTGGCAGTTACTTTGTTATACAGCAGACTGATACTGCAAGCACTGTTTGTTTGCTGTTGTACAGTGTGGTCTTATAATAGGATGCTGCTTGGAATGTGCATTTTGAAAAGAAAAGGAAAACTCTTTGGCCTGGAGGAAAATAGGTTTGCTAAAAATTACCTAACTTGCAAAGTAGAGAGACAGACAGAGAGGAAGCTGTCAATCTTGCATCTGCTAGTTTACTCTCCCAACTGCCTGAACTGGTGAGGCTGGACCAGGCTGAAGCCAGGAGCCTGAAACTAAACCCAGGTCTCCATTGTGAATGTCGGACTCCAGTACTTACTGTCTCCCAGGGTACCTTGGCAGGAAGCTGGATTGCCCTAAATATTGTCCCAGACACCTTCCCTTAAGGGAGAAATGCCTGATTCCTCTGTTGTGTTTGAGACTTTTTTTGGAGCAGAGAGGAAAGTGACAAAGAAGTAAGTTTCAATATTGGAAAATTTTGTGTGCAGGCATTAAATTAAGGTGCAGGCATTTGGCAAGCAGTGAAGACACTGCTTGATACACCCATATCCTATATCAGTGTGCCTGGGTATGGGCCAGGCTTCACTTCCTTTTTTACGTATATACATTTTTTATTTTTATTTTTCATGCTATTCACATTGTTGATCAGGGTGGGAAGGATTGAGAGTTAGGGAAAAGTGGGTGTGATCTTTGCTTCCAAATTTTCTGTTTCTTCTTCATTTGTCTGGGAGAAGGGGTGAGATAAGAGAAGCCGTATCCAGCCTCCAAACTGCCCCAGTCCCCGGAGGTCCCGACGTGGTGCACCCTCCAAGAGTTCCACTCAGGTAGTTTCCGTAGTTCTGAAATGCTGTTGATCTCGCTGATTGAAGGATGAGGGAACTCTTCCAATGTCCATTGACTGACACAGTCAACCATAGAGTTTCCATTTGCCCCGATTTTTGCTGTCACTATTTGGCTGGGGTAATTGTCCACTTTACTCTCTTCTCCTTCCTCTGCTATGGTACCAGATGCCTTCTGCAGGTTCAAATAGACTGCCTTATCCTCCATGTGTATCCAGGCCCACCGTCCACTACTCCACCTTTTCCACTGGGGAGGACGAGTTTTGCAGGCAGGCCCAAGGACCTGGCCAGGCAACCCAGCCCCCCAAACTTAAAATTTAAGTTTGCTACTAACAGACACCCAAGGAAGAAGTAGTGATGTCTCAAGTACTAAAATCTATAATTACTTGGAAAACCTGAGCTGAATTCCATGCTTTAGCCAGGCCCAGCTCCAAACCCAGCTTATTGGGGACGTTGGGGGAGTGAACTAATGAATAGAAGATAAATATTATCTGTTGTAAATAGATAAATAGATGAATTGTTATTAAATTGAATTTATTTTTTAAAAGGGAGGAAGATGGATTTAAAAGATTTTTTTAGAAGATTTATTTATTTTTGGGCCCGGTGGCGTGGTCTAGCGGCTAAAGTCCTCACCTTGAATGCACTGGGATCCCATATGGGCACTGGATCTAATCCCAGCAGCTCCACTTCCCGTCCAGCTCCCTGCTTGTGGCCTGGGAAAGCAGTCGAGAAAGGCCCAAAACCTTGGGATCCTGTACCCCCATGGGAGACCTGGAAGAGGTTCCTGGTTCCCTGCTTCAGGTCAGCGCAGCACTGGTCATTGTACTCACTTGGGGAGAGAATCATCAGACAGAAGATCTTCCTCTCTGTCTCTCCTCCTCTCTGTATATCTGATTTTGCAAATAAAATAACTTTCCAATAAAATAAATAAAAAATTTTTAAGATTTTTTTTTAAAGACTTATTTATTTTTATTACAAAGTCAGATATACAGAGAGGACAGAGAGAGGAAGATCTTCTGTCCAATGATTCATTCCCCAAATGACCTCAATGGCCAGAGATGAGCCGATATGAAGCCAAGAGCCAGGAACTTCCTCCTGGTCTCCCACATGGGTGCAGGGTCCCAAGACTTTGAGCCATCCTCCACTGCTTTCCCAGACCACTAGCAGGAAGCTGGATGGGAAGTGGAGCTGCCGGATTAGAACCAGCGCCTATATGGGATCCCGGAGCGCACAAGGCGAGGACTTTAGCCACTAGGCCACGCCGCTGGGCCCACTTTAAAAGATTAACTCAATATGAGAAATTTTGAAGTTCATACACATGAGTAAGGTCTTCAAAAAAATTCATGAAGAGAGTCTCCCATATGGGTGTAGAGGCCCAAAAAATTGAGCCCTTTTCTGCTGTTTTCCCTGGCACAATACTAGGGAACTGAATGGAAAGTTGAGCAGCCAGGACTCAAATAAGTACCTATATGAGATGCCATTATTGCAGGTGTCAGCTTAGCCTGTTTTGTCACAATGCCAGCCTCTGGCCTAGGTCTTTAATTCTTTGCCTGTAACACCTACATCCCATATTAGAATGCCTGGTCTGAGCCCTGGCTACTCTGTGTCTGATCTATCGTCCCACTGACGTGTACTCTGGGAGGCAGACACTAGGTGATCGAGTCCCTGCCATGCATGCCAGAGACCAGGAATGAATTTCAAGCTGCTGGCGTTGGGCTGTGACAGGCACTTGGAAGATCTTTGTTTGACTTTGTTTCTTTTTTCTCTCTGCCTTAAAAAAATCAGAAACTGAGTATTATGAGGCATTGTGCAGCAGTGGGTTAACCTGTTGCTTATAATACAGAGCACCAGTTTGTGCTATTTCCAGTCAGGCTCCCTTCTAGTGCACCTGGGCAGGCAATGAAAGGTGGTCCACTGTACTTACAGCCCTTCTACTTGTCTGGGAGGCCAGCATGGAGTTCCTGGCTTTGGCCTGGCCCATACATGGTTGTTGTGGCCAGTGGAGGAATAAATCATTAAATGGAAGATGTCTTTATATCTCTGTCTTGTTGCTCTTTCAAATAAACAATCTTAAAAATAAATGAAGATTGTGGACAAAGCTATGCATTAGCCAAAATATTTATCTTTTAGTTCTGTTGTTTCACAGACTTTCTGAAGTAGTCTCATGTATCAAGGGACTAGTACCCAGGACTGAAGAGTTGTAGTGTTTTCTCCGGCAGCCCCCTGTTGTGAACTCAGCTGGCAGAGTGTGCGTGTGTGTGAGCTGCTGAATCCTGTCTCCTGAGAAATTCCCAAGTGCTTGTGAGGTGGGAAACTCTGGGCCTCTACCTTTATCTGCAGGTCCTTTATCTTGTTTGAAGACTCGTCTCCGTCATTGACCCAGAAGTCCCTGAGAACAGAAAGCTCTTCTTTGCTGTTTGCAGGGGACCGGGTCTATTGCTGCAAAATCAAGGCCTTGTGAAGTCTTTACATTGACCTTGACTTTTGTCTAAGTTATTCACTTTCTACCTTTTCTATGACAGAATGGTAGTCTGCCTCAGGCGTGCCATTTACTGAAGGACATTTCCTCCCTTGTTTGTTAAAAACATTAAAAAAATTTTTTTCAGATCATTGTAGATGCGCATGCAGTAGGATGAAATAATGCAGTGACTTGTTCCCTTCAGCATCCCAAGGTATTCTCCGAAAATGATCTCTATCCATGTGACTTAGGAAAGTATACAAAATCATGTAGGTCAAGAAGTTCTTACCTCTGCTTTAGGACACCTGCGGAGCTGCCTGGCTAGTCTTCAAGGAGTTGCCACCCGAAAGGCTGCCGTGCCCCTGCATTGTCACTCTACAGAAGCCTGGGTGCCAATCTGCATACCATGATGGAGTTGGGAGGTGTGCCAGGCAAAACAGAGAGCTGGAAATAGGGTTAGAGCCTAAAAAGAAGGCTGAATTTTTGATGTACCTAAAAATGCAGATAGTGATGCTGACCTTGGAGTTGAAATGCTGTCCTGGAGGACTTGCAGAGTTCATAGTCAGATGGGCCTTTCCACAAGCCGCCCTGCCATGCTGTGCAGGGAAGTGAGTGTACAGCAGGGCAGGAGAAAAAGCCTCCAGAGAGGAATGGAAGACTCTGTAACACGTCTTCCAGAGAAGGGAGTCAGACTTTGTTAAGGAAGCAGTGTTGTCTTAAGGGTCATGAACAACAAAAGGAATCTCCAAATGGTAGAACTTCAAGCATTGTTAAAAAAAGAAGTGACAACTGCAGAGCCATTTCAAAAGAGAGAAGCTCCTGAAGCGAGCAGAAGACTGAAGAGACTGCTCTGTCATCTGGAGTTAGTGCCCGTGACCTTGCCTTCCCCTCCCGCTTTGCTGAGCCCACATGTTCCCCAGTAGAATTTTCTACCACCTTGGCAAAGCAGAAGCTGAAGAGGAGGAAAATGAACAGGAGTTGCCTAAATAGGGAGGTTGAGAGTCCAGGAAATGCCCAAAGCTGCAACTTGGATCAAAGTAGAGAGCTATTTTCTATATATATATTTATATTCTTTCTTAAAAAGATTTTATTTCAAATGTAAAGAGATTGAAAAATCTTCCATTGCTAGTTCACTCCTCAAACACCTGTATTAGTGGGGGATGGGCCAACCAAAGCCAAGAACCAAGAATTCCTTCAAGGTTTCCCACATGGTGGCAGGGGCTCATTTTCTTCAAGTATCATCTGCTACCTCCCAACACAGTCTAGGGAGCTGGATTGCAGAGTCAGTACTGCATCCCAGAGCTCTGAGATTTTCCCAACACCCACTCCTGTATTTTCTTAAATTGAATGTTGTTTAATGTTGTTTGTGATATTTTTTGTTTATCCAAATTGTACCTCTGACAAGCAAATAAGTTTTGAAAATGGTTTGGAGATAATATTACAACTATAACTGAACAACATCTTAGGACTTTTTTGGGGGGGTTAACCACTGTCTTTCTGACTTTTCTTCCAAAGATATTGTCACTTTCTATAGTATTTAAAATTGTACAGAGTCTCTGTAGAGAGAATACAGAGGTAAAAATATTTTAAAATGTCATAGTGTAGCTGGCATTATAGCATATTATATTAAGCTGCTGCCTTTGATGCCAACATCCCACATGGGTGCTAGTTCACGTCCCAGTTGTTCCACTTCTGATTGCCTCCTCATGGCCTGGGAAAATGGCCCAATTGCTTGGACCACTACCACCAACATGGGGGCCTAGATGAAGCTCCTGGCTTTGTCCTGGCTCAAACATGGCTATTGGCAGGCACACGGGCAATGAGCCAAAGAATGGAAGATCTCTGTGACTGTCCCTCTCACTCTGTAACTCTGCCTTTTAAAATAAGAAAATTAAATGAGTTGAATGCAAATCATATATATATATATATGATTAAAGACAACTTTTGCTGATATCCACCAATACATTAGCAATGATTTCGGTAATAGGAAAAAAAAGTGATTAAGTTTCTGTTTCTAGAATATATTTTGTGTAACTCTCTGTTATATTTTATAATTTTAACCTAATATAATTAAGGGATCCAAATCTGGAAGTTAAATTTTGTCTTTATTGATATAAAAAGTGAAATTCTCAATATTGAACATTGAAATCTAATGTTGATGTTTAATTTGGCAGTCATTGAGACTGAAAGCTCAGTCTTGTCTTTTTTTATTTAAGATTAATTTATTTTATTGGAAAGGTAGATTTACAGAGGGAAAGAGCTGAGCCGATCCAAAACAGGAGTCAAGAGCTTCTTCTGGATCTCCTACATGGATGCAGGGTCCCAAAGCTTTGGGCCATCCTCGACTGCTTTCCCAGGCCACAAGCAGGGAGCTGGATGGGAAGTGGAATAGCTGAGACATGAACCTGCGCTCACATGGGATCTGAGTGCTTGGAGGTGGAAGATTAGCCAATTGAGCCATCGCACCTGGCCCTTGTTTTCTTAGAGTACTGTCCAGTACAGTATGGAATATAGTAAGCACGATGAGATGGCTTGCTCCTTGCCTCACACATGCGGGGATCCCATATGGGTACCAGGTCATGTCCCATCTGTTCTACTTCCCATTCAGCTCCCTGCCTGCTGTGGCCTGGGAAAACAGTTGAGTATGGCCCAAAGCCTTGAGACCCTACACCCATGTGGGAGACAGAAAGAAGCTCTTAACTCTTAGCTCCTAGCTTCAGATTGGCTCAGCTCTGGCCTTTGGCAGCCACTTGGGGAGTGACCAGCTGATGGAAGATCTTTATCTCTGTTAACTCCTCTCTGTATATCTGCATTTCAATAAAAATAAGTATATCTTAAATATGTTTATATTTTTATTGTATATACATATATATGATATATGAAGTGTGTATATATACATATATATATTACATATATATGTATATCAAGACTAGCGCTTTGGAAGTATGTAACTCATGCCTTTGGTTTGCTTTGCGCATCCTCCTGAAATTGGCATTGAGATGGCTGTCCTCTAGAGAAACAGACGGCTGACCCAGCCACCCATCACTTGAGGGTTTGGTCATCTTTTAGATAACTCTTTATATAGCATTAGAACAATTGTCTGCCTAACAGTAGACTTTAATGCTGTGAGTATAGATAGTTTTCTAATCTCATAGAACCACACAGAATGTAGAGGTACAGTCCCTGGAAACACCGTGTCTTCAGCCACTCTGCTGATTAAGGACTTTGTGGGTGAAGTTTTCTTGACCAGAGTGCTCGGATACCTTGGGAGTTAACCATCCTGTGTTTCTCCTCACAGCTGTCACTGAAGTGCAGAGCTCCTGAAGTTTCTCAGTACATCTATCAGGTCTACGACAGCATTTTGAAAAACTAATAAACTGGTCCAGCAACCACAGTCACCACCTCATCGGTACAAGCCAAGAACACGTAACTGGAAGAAATTTTGTTGCCGTGTAGAATCTGAACCCAGACACATTGAGGCCACCCACCAAGGTAGTGACTAGTCTGTGCTAACCTTAGGGCACAACCTGTTGGATAGTTTTAGCTTCCTGTGACCATTTGTAACCACTGCTTCTATCGCTTCCCTCCTCTGCCACCTGCTGCTGCTGTCTGTCCTGATGGGCTTCTCCATGTTGTAGCAATGGCTGGCTTTTTCTACACGCTCTTTTGAGTGTAGTTGGGTATTTTGTCATCAAGAGCTCATTTCAAAAGCAGAAAATGACAACAATCATTAAAGCAAGGAAAAGCGTCACTGAAAAATAAGCTGCACTTTATTGTTTTATATTTTTTTACATGTGAGGATTTGAGGGAGTTGTTTAAGGAGCAGAAAGTATTAAGCCAGCTGGCCGTCATTGACCACACAGCCCTGGACAGACAGTCCCCACCACATCCTGGGAGCATTTGTGCCAGTGGCAACCTTGTACTCTGCACTTTGATGTTTTTCTCCTTTCTTTTCTGTAGCCATACCTTCGTGCTTCCCCCTGGGTTGTCATCTCATTCAGCTGGTGCATGGCTGGTGAGGATGTTCTTCCTTGATTGCTGTTTGAGGGTGCAGGAAAATCGGGGCCTTGGCAGGCAGGCAGAAGAGAGGAAGTGGCAGTTCCCACCTTCCTTTCCCCTGAGCAGGCGCATTCAGGGTGCAGCTGAAGGAACACGAGATGGGAAGCCCGAGCCAGAAACCAGCCCTTTCCAGACCCCCAGGGTCTCTTGGGACCCATTCAGTTCCCAGTTTCATAGTTGAAGCAGGCTGTAGGTAATGACTTCCCCAACCCTGTTGTCTACACAGAGATTGAAGGCCAAGAGAGCCATCCATTCCTGCCAGGCCTGGGGGCTGATCAGGAGCTGCGTCCCGCCCCCTTGGGTTCTCCTGCCTCCAGCTGGTGTTCTTTTCCACCCGCTTTCTCCTGCCTTTGTGTGCTTGCTTTGTGGCTCTTCATCTGCTCCAAGCTGACTCTGGTGCCTCATCCATTGGCATCAGGTGGTGATGGAGTGTTTTGTCAGTTACTTGAAGGTAAACCCAGATGTCAGAGTGAAGGAGGCACTGATGCTGGAAGCTGGCAGGCTGCATTCTGCGATGAAGTGAGCTTAGAGAGGTCATAGGTTCTCTGTCCCTTCAGCCCCCTCTTCTTTTCTCACATTCCTCAGGCCCCACGGTGGCCTTGGGACCTCCCAGAAGTCAGGCAGTTCTCAGCATCTGTGGAAAGATGAAGAGGACACGAGATCCCCTTCTTCACACCTGGGTACAGCTTGTTCAGGAATTCGTTATTAGCATGGGCCCAGATGCTAGCCTGTCACATTACACACCCTTCTCTTTGTGGGTGTTTGCTGTGTGACCCTGCTGCAGCATTCAGTCCCCACAACAAAGATTGCTCTCAGCTGCCCCTGCTCGCGCCATGGTCCAGAGGCCATGATGTTCTTCGGGAAGAATTGTGGAAAGCAAGTGCAGGCAGCCCCACCGGGTCAGGCATAACCAGATATCATCAAGTAGTTGCAGAGGTTGGGGGAGTGGCTGCCTCAAAGCCACTTCCTAACCTTGAGAATTCTAAGAGCCCCTGTGGTGGGGGGGTGCGGCAGGAAATGTGTCCCTCATTCCCACCCATCATGCATGTGGGAGTAAGAAGCGGCACAGAGCTCTGTGAGGGAGGTGGGTAGGCTGGCAGTGTAGGGGATAGAAAGCAGGTTGGTGATTGAAACTCATTCCTGGAGGCGCTGGCCTCAAGTAGTGATGCAGATTCATACTCCAGATGCAGTGTTCTCAGCTCAGACCAGACATAGCACCAGACAAAAGCGCAAGCGCCAGGGCGAGCCGACGGAAGGCAGTTTTGTACCAGGACATGCCCTTAGCCCCAGAAATGAGGGTGTCCTGGCTCCCCACCCAAGCCCACCAGTGGTGAACTGACCTGAGCCAGTCCTTGAACTCATCACTCCTGGGGAGCGACCTCCAGCCCCACCGAGCAGAGCAAGGGAAGCTTCCCTTCGGGCCGCAGGGTTGGCCAGACTAGGGGAGCGAGATGGCAGGTGCCCTTTCCCTCTGCCTCAGTGTGTCTTTGTGATGTCAGCTAGTGTCGTGCAGAGGACACGGGAAGCACACACACACACCCAGAACTCTTGCTGGTCAGAGATTCCCTGAGTGTCCCCACCCAAGCGTGCCCGTGTACCTGTGTTGTGAAGCGTGGGACTCTGTGGAGAAATCGGGAAGGAGACAGGTATATATGGCCCTGAGAATGCCTGTCATCCTTGTTCTTGTTGGGGTCTGTTCTTGGGGAGGGTGGGAATGGGAGTGCTTGACCTTGTGTCTTCATCAATAAACTCTCATTTACACAAATTGAAGCTTGTGTTGTGGAGTCTGTTCCCAACTGGCCAGGCAAGGAAAGCAGCATTCATATCTACTTTGGCAGAGCTGTTTTTACTTCCCTGGCCCTCCCGGGGGCTCAGCCAGATGAAATTAAGATGGACTTGAAGAAGAACCCTGTGCCTCAGGGAGGCTCCTGCAGGCCAGGTCCCAAACCAACACTGCAGGCAGCGCATGCCCATGGAGCCTGTCCAGCTCCCCTGGCAGACATTCCCAGGGGCACTAGCCAGAGCAGTAGCAGCTTTGTGCTGACTTGTAGGCAGCCAGGCAGCAGGGCCCTGGGGCAGGAGTATGGCAGAGGCTCCCATCAGTTCCTGTTACCCTAGATGTCCCACACATCTTTTTCAACTTCGGAAAGCCTCCCTACCCAGACCCAGAAGTTACATGTTTCCAAGCAGAAGGAACTGAGGCTGCATTAAGCAGGCTTCTTGGGAAGTTTAAATCTACTTGCCTGGGTTTGTGTTGCTGGCCTTATTCGGTAACTGACTGCCGAGGGCAAGGGACCCAGCACCAAGATGCCTTTGCACAAGCCCTGCACCTTCCCAATAAAGTGCCTGACACAGTACCGGGCACTTAGTAGTTGCTTAGAAATGGTAGCTGCTTGTATTACCTAGGGTTCAGACACCACAGACAAACTGGAAGCTTGGGATTTCTGTTACTAGGGACAGCTCGACTGTCTGTCCTGCTGGGCTGTGCTTAGTCTAACTACCAGGAGTGTCAGCTGGGGAGCAGTGGGATCCTCGTCTTCATGGAGGATCCAGTGAGGGATCCAGAGAGACTGTTGCGGGATCTTGCTGGGCTCAGCAGTTGAGAATGCTGTTGGTGTGGGCCAGGGTCTCATGGAGAGGCCTTCACCTCCTGGGCACACAGTATTGCTGAAGCGCCTGCATGGCCTATTGCTGGTTCTTTTGAACCAGACAGGGCCAGGGTTTGGGGCAGGAACCTCCCTTAGGAGACTTTGAAAGGCACAGAGAGAATTCTCATCTACTGGTTCCCTCCCCAAACGTCCACACTCAGCCAGGCTGGACCCAGGGTCAGGGGTCTCCTACATGGGTGGCCACGGACCCAAGTTCTTGAGCCATCTGCCTCTGAGGGTACCCACAGCAGGAAGCTGGACAGGAAGCCATGACCTGAGCTGGACATTGTAATGTGAGATGTGGGTGTCCCAGAGCCTTCTCCACTAGACCTCATGCCCTCTGCAAATCTGCACATTTGCAGAGCTCCTCAGGGGTGTACACTGTACTCTAAGGGTGAAGGCTCCCTATGAGGAGAGAGAGGTTGTGGCACAGAGTAGAGAAGCACTTGAGACCTGCTCCTACCCTGAGGCTTTCAGCTCATGTTCGTCAGGTTAGAGGCGGCAGAACCACACATGGCTTGGGACCCTGTCGGCCTTGCCTGCCCACACCCTCCTCCCACCACCCTCAGCCACGCCAGGTCTTGCCAGGGTCTTGGGGTTTCATCCAGGTTGTCCTAGCCCTCTCTGCCCCTGCATGGGCACCTGGGAACTACTGTGAGCTCAAAGATGCTGTTCCCAAGCCCAGAGAACAGCTGAGAGGCCCCAGGTTGGAGCCTTTTCTACTCCCACTTGATGTATTAGTTCTTTTTCTAATTTCTCTTGGACCCAGATTTCTTTTCCGTGCCACCCCCAGCTCCAGGAGGCAGGAGCCTGTTTATTTTAATACCTGGTGTGGCACTTGGGAAGCATGGCACTCCCCCGTCACTCCCCACTTCTATCTTCTGAACACTAATCCTAGAATCTCCAGCAGCCTCCAGATATGTTATTAGCAACAAGGATGTTTCTTGAAAAGTCCGAATTGGCTCCAAACTTGCCATCTTTGGTTTCTTGTTTAGCTTTTGCCCTGCTGTTGCTGACACTGACTTGGGGGTGGTCAGACCCAGATTCTCGGCTTGGGGAAGTGGCTTGCAAAGGCTCCAGCAGCAGGTGCACTAGTCCAGGACACGCCTGCCATCTCCAGGGGTCACTCCTGTGGACAACTCCTGGCACAAGCTGAGAGAAGGTTACTTAACCCCATCTCTCCCACTGTGGAGGAGTTGGGGGAGGAGGCCAAGTCTAGTTTCTGGCTTGCCCTCTCTTGATTCATTCATTCTTTGTTTAGGATTAGAGGCCCTAGAATCTGGCCAAAGAGCCCCAGGAAGCCAGAGCAGGCGAGCGAGCGTTTGGGGTCTGGGTCCAGTCTGTCCTGCCTCCTGCACTGCAGGTGGGCCCAGGTGTCCACTCCCTGGGTGCCCAAGTATGAACTTCAGCCATCAGGCCCCCTCAGGTCAGGGCCTCTGGCAACCTTTCACCAAAGGAGTCCTAGAAAGCGGAAGTGAGCAGACCCCAAGGGGCTTGTGTATTAGCCGGAAGTGACTTCCCAACAAACCAGAATGACCTAACTGTGCCTTCAGGTCAGAGCAATTCAATGCAGTTTCCATTGAAATAAAACTGTAATAACCAGAAGCTATTAGGAGGCCTTGGGCCTAGTGCCCCTTAATAGAGCTGAGCCGACACAGATCCTATTGCCAGATGGAATGGAGGGATGCACAGTGCCCTAGGTGTGACCCCATTGTCATTCCATGAGATCAGCAAGATTGGATTTCTTCCCCCATAAAAGTAGCGTTCCAGGATGAAGGGGTCTAGCTGTGCCTGTCTCCAGCTGTGGCCTGTCCCCACCCCCACCCATGACCTGGTGCTCTAAATAGACGAAAAAAAAAATATTACAGACCCTTCCCCCTCCCCCTTAAGAGGGACGTGGTATTAGGGATCAGTACCTGCCTGGGACAGCCAGTCCCGGCTGCTGACTGAGGAAATGCCTTCAGGCACATCAGGGACAGTGGCAGGGCCAGGATTTAAAGGGGGAGTAGCAGAGCCCACAGGAGTAGACAATCCCCATGCAGGGCCCAGGACCCAGATAGAACTCGCCCCCTCCCTTCTCCTCCTCAGCCTGCAGGCTCTAATCAGGGGGCCCGCAGGGATGCCAGGGCTCCAAGTTCCGCCGCGCACCTGCCCTCCCGGAACCGGGACCCGTGCCAGGCCCCTCTGCGGTTCCCCCTGAGCCACTCACAATACTTGGAGGGCACATTTTGCATTAGGCAAGGGAAGTTATTCAGCCTCTGTCAGTTTCAGCTGTTTCATCAATACATATAGGGAAAACCATCTACCTTTTAGAATTGTCGGGATCAAATTGTAGGATACAGGCAGAGCCCGCGGACACTGTCCGGCAAGGGTACATGTGAGCTGCTGCTGATGTACTGATGATGACTGCTTCGGAATAAATGCATGAGCGATTTTGCCCACAACCCTCGCAAATGCTGGCGTCTTCCCAATGGGCACCAGAAGGGACCAGAAGTTTTTGGGGGGAGATCGGGATTGCTGGGGGATGCACGCCGGCCGGTTCTGCCTCTCCCGGCCCTCCTCTCCCTTCTCCAGAAGGGCAAAGGGGACCACCCTCCACTCCGTCCTCCGGGGCTGGTGAGGAACAGCCTCGTTGTTTCCCCGCACACTGCCACGCAGGGCGCACGGCGGACGGGAAAGCAAAGTGGCAAAGGCAGAACTGCGGCCGGGAGTGTATTGCGGAGCCGGAGTCGGGATGAGGCCAAAGGTTGCAGGCGCCTGCCCGTCCCACTCCCGGACTCCTCCACGCCGGAGCTCGGTTCTGCAAGGGGGAGTCTGCAGGGGGTGAAGGTCGAGGCTAGCAGGGGGTGGAGGGGGCGTGCTACGGAGGACGCAGTCCTGGCTGCCCAGCCAACCCGTCGGGCTCAGGGACCCAGCGGAAGGCGCGCCAGCCGCCCGCCCCCCTCCGCTGCCGCGGCTGCCGGCGCCGAGCGGGCGGCGCGCTCCGCAGGGCGAGCAGGGGCTGGCGCTGCGACCCCTGGGCGCGCCGCTCCTGCCCCGCTGCTCGGCCGGGGCGCCCCTTCTCTCCCCCTGGGCGGGGCAGCCCAGGGGGCAGCGCCGCCGGCCGGCCAGGGCAGGGGCCCCGCGAGGACGGCCCCGGTAAGCGGCGGGAGCAGGGCCGGGGTCTGCGGGGGTGGGCTTGGCGGGGGAGACCGGCCCGGTCGGGGCGAGCGGGGAGGAGGGGGCCGGCGGGGAAGTGGCGCGGGGCGGCCACGTGAGAGCTGGCGCTGGGGGCGGGGGTGCCTGCGCTGCGCTGGAGGCGGAGAGCGAGCTGGGCGCTTGCACTCCCCCCCACCACCCGACCCCAAACTCTCGCCGAGCGGGGAGCCCCCGCGTCGACCCCCCCAATGCGAGCGCGCAAGCTGGGAACCGCGGACGGACTCGTGACCCCGGGCAAAGCGCCGGCCCGCAGCGTGGGGCAGGGACCCAGGTGTCCGGGAGGAAGGGGGATGCGAGAGGAGCGGGCTCCGGCCCCTGTGCGGTTCCAGGTCTCAATCCGGGCCGGCTGCAGACTCACTGCAGAGCACAGGCTTTGGAGAGGGAGCACCCAGGGGCGTTCAGACCCAGAACCTGCATCTGGGAGGAAGGAGGGGGCATTGGCTGCTGGCCTCTGAGTTGGGAACCGGTGGCACGTGGGCCTAGTAAGTTCCGGGAAGGTGGCCCTGCCACCTCCCTCTTGCACACCCTTCCTGAAGCTGTGCCCTGCTTTCCATTTCCATTCCCCGCCCTCCTCCCCACCCCACCCCCGTCCCCTAGAAAAGGCTAGCTCCTGGCAGGAAAGTGCGGTGTCCAGGGGCGGTGTCCAGGAGTGGCCTTGTGCAGCCAGTGTCTCCCAGCAGTCCCTGAGCTGCCACACCCAGACGAAGGCCAGGACTCTGTCAGGGTCCTTGCCCCATCCCTCCCCACCTGTGGACCTGCTTATGTAATGAACCCAGCTGAGGCTCTCAGCCCAGCTGGCAGGGTCCAAGAATGCCCGGAGGAGGGTGAGTCCAGAGGCTGAGTAAGTGCAGAAGCGCCTGTGGGGGCAAGCCTCCTTAAAATGCAGGGAACACCCCCCATCACACACACACACACACACACACACACACTCTCCACATGTATGTGAGCCTACACAACAGTTCAACTGTGGCTAACGTCCCCTCCCAGGATCACTAGGGGATCCCGTTAAGATCATGGGAAAACGCCATTTCCAGAACGCCAGCTGTGTGCCAGTCCTGTGGCTTTCCATGTCACCTCTTCTTTAACACCCTGTGAGGTGTCCTGCCGGAGGTCACTCTGCAGGTGAATGGCAGAGCTAGGAGTCAAGGCCTGCTTCTTACTCCGCGTCCTGCCTTTTATTTCCTATGCTCTATGCACACGTAACCTGTGCCCTGTGTCTTCAGAACTGGGGCCAGCCTGAGGGATACTCTCCTGTGAGCTGTGTGTGTGTGTAGGGGGGACATGCAGCCACAGAGAGACCCAGCTCACTGGTCACCATGCCTAGCAGAAGGAGAAAATTGCTCTCCGCCTGGCTAAGATAATGGATTGGATTCTCCAGATGCCTGACTCTTTTGGCCTAAGTAGGGAGTGGGGCTGGAAAACCCCGGGTCCTACCCTGAGCAAGCCAGGAAGTTAACAGTCCCTGTCAAGGTTCCAGCTCCTCCCAGCATCCCTCTTTCTGGGCAACCTGCTGTGTGTCAGCATCTGAGCGCCAGGTGGTACCAGCAGGTTAGACCCAGCCCTTGGCGTGTAAACATTGACCGGTTAGAATCCCTGAACTTGAAAGTTGGACTGCTGTCACAGTTGTAAAATGGGAGCTGCCATTCCTAGCTGTGTAACTTTGGGCACCCAGCCTTCTCTCTAAGGTGGTAGTGACCATGCCTGGGCCTTACGGACAGGGTGTTGACCTTGGGTAACCGTGTGGGCTTGTGTAGTCAGTGTCACACAGCTTGGCCAGTGCTCTTGCCACTAGTTCCTGCAGCCTGCCTTGGCCGAGCTGGTGAGAGAGCTGGGAGACCTGGTGAGACGTGAGGTCATAGTTAAGTCTAGGAATATTGATTCCACCAGTGGGTCTGCAGGGAGAAATGGAAGAGGAGACTATTGGGGCTTTGCACAGGTGGACACAGGGGTTCTGGAAAAAGGAAGGCATGGCATGGGGTCAGGCCCAGGCTCCGCACACTAAGCCCACCTCTCGTCCCCACAGCCCATCCAGGTGACGGCCGCCGAGGGCCCAGGGCAAGCAGAGGCAGTGATGGTTGATTCTGACGGTGGCTGAGCCCCCAGCCCCTGGAATATGCAGCCCTGGGGAGCCCCAGGCAGCGGCAAGGACGCGGTGGCGGAGTGGGGCGGGAGGCATGGTCTCCACCTACCGGGTGGCTGTGCTGGGGGCGCGAGGCGTGGGCAAGAGTGCCATCGTGCGCCAGTTCCTATACAACGAGTTCAGCGAGGTCTGCGTGCCCACCACCGCCCGCCGCCTCTACCTGCCTGCTGTCGTCATGAACGGCCACGTGCACGACCTCCAGATCCTCGACTTCCCGCCCATCAGCGCCTTCCCTGTCAACACGCTGCAGGTAGCTGGTGGGGGTCCACAGGTGGCAGCGGGTGGGGGGCAGAGGTCTGCTCAGTGTCATGGGCTACTGGGCCCGTGCCTAGAGCCCGGCCAGCAGGAGTCTGTTTGTGTGCGCATTTATTCAACAAATATTTGCTGACCATTATATGTGGGCCAGGTCTTGCCATGGGCACCAGGGCAGAAGAGCAAGCAGGAATTCAGAGTGGGGAAACAAGCTGTCGGCGCTGCCACCTTGTCCCAGAGCTGTGACTGCAGGCTCAAGCTCCCACGAATGGGAGTGGGGTGGGGTCTAGCTGGGGTCGCAGGAGGCCATGGCTCCACCGAGGCAGTTTCAGGGAAGGAGGGGTAGGGGAGAGAAGGACCGGGGACGCTGGCTGCCTCTTTGTGTCCAGATTTGCCCACTTGGGCTATGGTGAGTTTTCAGGGCCTTAGGCCAGGCCCATGGGACACTCTGTCCCCTCCCCTCACCACCTGCCTGCTGGGCACCCTTCCTGCAGGGGCTAAATTTGAAGGTCCCAGTGCCTTTGTTCACAATGCTCCACACCCTGGCCTGCTGGCCCCAGACCCCGCGCCGTGTGGCTCCTCTCTGCCTGCACTGGTAGAGGGGGCAGAGGGCAGGGGGTCTGGGTAGGAGGCCTTAGGCTGAACGAGTTTGCAGGACAGGATGGGCTCTGTGGCAGAGACCAGGGAGGAGGGGGGTGATGCGGGGCTACTTGTCGCTGAACACAGATGGCCTTTCCCCTGCAGCTCCCCCAGCTGTGGCTGGGTACTCGGTGTTCACCAGCACCAGGCTGGGCGCTTGGGCCCAGCCACAAGCACCTGTATCCCCCTCCCAGGCACGTGGGGTTTTCACCAAAAACAAAGCCACATCTGAGCTTCTGTCCCAGGCATAATGAGGTTGGGTGGACCTAGCAGTGCATCTGGGGTTAGGGCCTGTAGCTTCTCCACAGACAGCGGCCTAAGTGGGTACACAGATCTGAGCCTGCATCCCAAGCTTTGTTTACCATGTACTTCATTATGTATTCATTTTTAGAACTTTTTAAATTTGAAAGGCTGAGTAACAAAGATAGATGGAGGAATTCAAAGAGAAAGATCTTCCATCTGCTGATTTACTGTCCTGATGGCCACAAGGTTGGAACTGGGGCATTTGGCCAAAGCCAGCAGTTTTTTCCCCATCTCTCATGTGAGTAGCAGGGACCATCCTCTGCTGTTTTCCCAGGCACATTAGCAGGGAGCTGGATCACAAGTGGGGCAACCAGGACTCTAATCTGCTCTCATATTGTAATCTGTGTTGTAGCTTAATCCACTGAGCCACAGCAGCAACCCTGATTTTTAATTTAATTTTAATTTTGACATAGGAAAGATGCAATTTAAAAGCTCAGAATTTGACCGAGAGAAGTCTCAGCCCACCCACTACCCCTCTGTAATAGCTTTCATTGTTTCTTTACTCAAGTAAGAAAAATGTTCTCATTGTGCCCCTTCTAACATAAACACCACCCTGCAGACTCCAGACTGTTCTGTCCTTGTCGGCACAGGAAGCAGAACAGTTTCCCATGCCAGCATCCACAGGACTTGTCACCGTGCCGCTCCTGGTAGCCCTGGACTCCACCGAAGCAGCGTACCCTCTTAATGGAGGTATCCCCTCACATCCCAGCGAGAGACTCGAGACACTTAGTGTATCTGTGGGCTGGCTCCTAGAAATGGCATTGCTGGCTCAAGGGGCAGCCTGGGTCTGCATCACGTCACCAGAGGCCCCCAGAAAAAAGCGGGGGACAGGGACTCCCTGGGTGATGCACCCAGAACTGTTTTCCCTGAAGCCTGGCCGGCATACCACTGTCCATTGACTGGATCAGGTTTCTGGCAGTCTGCTAAACGTGGTGTAGCGTTTGTAGTCTCTAGTATGCTGTTCCTTTGCATCTCTGATTCTGAGTGGGGTTGGCACCTTTTAGCAGGCGTTTGTGGGAACTTTCAAATTCTTTGCCCATGTTTCTTTCCATGAGGTTCTTGACCATTGTCTTCTTAATTGACCTGGATGGGGGACTCTGGGATAACCAAGATCTCACTCCTGGCACACAGGCAAGGGATGCTGGGTAGAACAATGCTGGTAAGAGGCCCTAGAGACCCCAAAATGCCCAAGCTCCCTGGTGCCACTTTCTGAAAATGAATTAGTGCCTTCTTCCCAGACTAAGGGGATTTGGCCTGGGAGAGCTGGACTCCCTGGGTCTGCGCGTCAGGACTCCCTTCCACAGCTGCCTGCTGCTATCAGAGAAAGAAGCCGCGGTTACAGGACACATGCAGTCTACCAGAGGAAGGGTCAGGCACCCCCCCATGGGGACCCCATGTCCCTGGAACTGGACTCGGTTTCTACTGCCACTCTGACTTGACATAGCTCCACGGCAGTCTTTTTGAGGCCTTAGCAGAAGCCTGCAGAAAGCAAGCTATAAGGAAAGCTGAATTTCCTTGCTTCTGCCTTGCTTCTTCCAAGGGGTGAAGGAAGAGACAGCCCAGTCATTGCTCTTGAGGGGCCCTGGGCTGGAGCAGTTTGGCACGGGGCAGCCTGGAGGTCCCCGCAAAGGGGCAGCAGCACGTTGTGGGGGAGGTACTCACCAGAGAGGTTGGGAACCCCTCCCACCCGTGCACTCTCCCCAACTCCCAATCTCCACTCCCAATCCCAATCGGGGGATGCGATTGGAGTGGGGAGCGGATGCTGCCAGGTGCAGGTGTATGTCCCCGAGGTCCCTGTGCAGTACACAGTGCCATCTTGCCATGCTTCCCCATGCTCTGAGATTTGTCTTGAGTGCTCTCCCTCTGCAGCGAAACTTAACCCCTCAGCACAGGGAAAGATACCACATCATCTTTCTGGAGAGTTCACTGCAGCATGTCCAGAGCCTCGCCAGCACCACTGCAACCCAGGTCTTGTCCCTTGCATTCTCTCTGGGAGCTGGATAATCTGCCATTTTCCTCCTTCAGCTCAGCTCAGCAGTGGGGACACCAGACATCCACCCGTTCTCCAAGGCTTTCATCTGGGTCCTACCAGGAAAAAGTCCTGGCCCACCTCAGGGACCCCCTTCTTCCCGCAGACTAGCTGCCTGTAAGTGCTCTTGCAATTCACATCTGTTGGCAGGTTAATTAGCTAATTAATCTCTGAGTGAAGCTGCTCTTTAGCACACTCAGCCTTGTTCTGCGGCCCCTCCCCGAGCATTTGCCATGAGTACGCAGGATGTTCCAGCTCTTTGGAGCTGCCCCGGAGTGCTGCTCCTGACACCTGTGCCTGCCTTCTGCACACATCCAGTCACCATCATTTTGTGCGGCATGGAGCATGCAGAAGCTGTGCATCAGGCAAGGGCAGCAACAGAGCAGGATCGGTGCCGACTGGGGCTGGGTGCCGTTCAGGACCATGGAGAGCTCGCAAGCCCAGCAGGGCAAGGCTGGGAGGAGGGGCTGGCTCTGGCCCTGTCAGGAACTCGGAGCAGAGACAGAATAGCTCTAACAAAGGTAGAATCAAAGGATAGTTAGAACATAGGAGAGGAGGAGAGGGAGGGTGGGCCATCAGGAAAGCTCCTGGGAGGAGGAGGCACTTCAGCAGATGGAGAGGATTTGGACAGGTTCAACAGCTGACTCCGGGCTGGGTTCTTGTAGGCACCTAACGTACATCCAAGGCCTGACTGCCTGGCTGGCTGGGGGGCACAATGGCACGAGACAGATCTAACTTCCAAGGGTTCACACACACTGTGAGCAGTGCCCTCCTGTCCTGGCTTGTGGGCGGGGAGGGTGTGCACCAAGCCGTCCGGGCCTGGCCTGCTGGGGGAGGGGCCATGGCAGGTGGCAGCTGGGGGGCTGCTCTGACCCGGGACCTGGCTGGGTTGTTGCAGGAGTGGGCGGACACCTGCTGCAGGGGCCTCCGGAGCGTGCACGCCTACATCCTGGTCTACGACATCTGCTGCTTTGACAGCTTTGAGTACGTCAAGACCATCCGCCAGCAGATCCTGGAGACGAGGTGAGGGGCTGCGATCCAGTCTGTCACTACCTATGGATGTGCCAGGGTTGGCCCAGTGAGGGGGGGGACATACAAGTGAAGTGTCTTCCCACATATACACACACCTGCATTTTGCTGTCCCACCCCTGTTAACTCATTTAGGAACCCTGACAGTGGTTGAGAGCCAGGAATGGGCCACATGGCGCTAGGCTAGTTAACAGCTTCCCCCCCACACACACACACCCCTGAAAATTGGGGACTGGAAATAGTAGTCAATTGTGCAGAGTGGAGACTTAAAGGGCATAGGGCTTTGCTGGGACCAGACCCAGGGAGTGGTGGAGATCCCATGGCTGTGAGCCTGGGCTGGATCTGAGATGCCCGGCCTCGCCCCACAGGGTAATCGGCACCTCGGAGACGCCCATCATCATCGTGGGCAACAAGCGGGACCTGCAGCGTGGACGCGTGATCCCACGCTGGAACGTGTCGCACCTGGTGCGCAAGACCTGGAAGTGCGGCTACGTGGAGTGCTCGGCCAAGTACAACTGGCACATCCTGCTGCTCTTTAGCGAGCTGCTCAAGAGTGTCGGCTGCGCCCGCTGCAAACACGTGCACGCCGCCCTGCGTTTCCAGGGCGCGCTGCGCCGCAACCGCTGCGCCATCATGTGAGGCTGGTGCGCGCCTGCCACTGCACCGGGCCGAGCAAGAGCAGCGCCCTGCGGGGCTGCACCTGCAGCCGTGCCACCTCCTGGGGAGAGGTCCCAACGCACACGCAGCCCTCTCCCGCCAGGCCCGCGGTCTTCCTGGGACAGCCGCCTCCCGTGCTGTAGTGGTCACAGTTCCCCTCCCAATCCCAAGGGGCTGCCTCAGCCGGGCACCACCCTTTTTCTCCGGAGTTTGTGTGTGTATATGTCAGGACCCCTTGTCGTCCCTTCCCGCGTCTGTCCGCTCGAGCGTCTGTTGGTCCTAGCCGGTCCCCGCCACCCCCAGCTCCGCTCTGTATAGGGCTTTCATTGCCTCCATCCCCGGGTTGCAGATCCTGGCAGCTGGGCCTTCGGGTACCAGCGCCACCGGCACAGGGCAGAGAGATGCAGCTGGGCCCAACCCAAGGAGTCAGGGGTAGAGCTCCAGGACCAGTTACGGGGAGAGGGCTGAGCCCTCCCCAGCCCAGCAGCCCCCAGAGACACAGCCACCTACCTCCCAGCCTTAACTCGATGGTCCGTCCCTGCTGGGTGCCCCTGAAACCAGAGGACCTCCTGGGTTAAAACTTATTAATTTTAATTTTTTTTGTTGTTAAATTTTTGGACACAGTGTGGGAAGGGACTCCCCAGAAAGATGGCTCCCTTTCTGTGATGCCAAGTTCAAGTCCTCCCTCCCCTCCTGCCCTGGGGGAGGTGGAGTTGGGTGGGGGGAAGGAGTGGCTGGCCATGGGGGTGGGAGGAGGCAGGATGTGTGGTGAAGATGGTCTCCCTAACCCACCAGCCAAGCTGCCCCCAGACCCTGCCTGCCTCCCCTCCTGGGGTTACCCTGGTTACTCGGAGGAGAGAGTTCTTGGGGCGCCTGGGCCTGGAGAGCTGCACCTGCATCCCCAGCCTTGAGTGGGGGCCCCCTGGTTCTAACCCACCTCCCCCACCCCTGGCCCTGTGCCCTCACACTCCACCCCATCTTCTCCGGCTGCCTGGCCGGGTTTCTACCTCTCGTCACCGGAGCTGATCACTGTCAGTTTTGTACCAATTTAGAAATAACAATGTGAGTGGGGTTTCTAGGAATGGCCTGAGGGGACTCTGGGGTGCGTGGAGGGAGGGAGAACTGGTGCCGGGTGCCTGCCCCTACCCCCTCGAGTCAAGTGGGGCAGATGGAACAACTCAGTCATGGTCAGCCTAGCTGAGGCTGCAGTGCAGGTTCATGGTCCCAGGGTGGGGACGGGGGGACAGGGGCACAGGTTTGGGGATTGTCATTGCAATCCAGGGTGGGACGGAATCTGCTTCCCCAACCCATCCCCACACCATCCACTCTGCAGTGACCACTCTGACCTCGGGCCGTGCGGCATGCAATGGGTTCTAGCCCGAGCTGTGCTGTGCTTTGCCACACTGGGCAAGTGGCCTGCCCTCTCTGAGCCTCCCTCTGCAACAGAGGTGGTGGCTCCGCTTCCCCACGCTCGGCGTGGCTGGGAGAGTGAGGAAGAGGGCCTGCTGCCCCCTCTTGGTGCCTGCACTCCCATCCCCCAGTTCACCAGGGGGACAAGCTGAGGGTGGCAGCATCTCACATGCCATGTGCCCCTCAACTCAGGCACCTGCGGGAGAGGTGGGGGTCCAGGCCTGTGGCTGCCCCCCCTTGTGGGAGCAGTCATAGTCTCCCCCTGATGCAGACTCCCCTAGCCCCTCCACTCTACCCCAGGTCCGACTTCAGGGCCCTGCTCCCCCATTTGAGTCTGTCCTCCCCTCTCCACCCCCCCAGGGTTTCCCACCACAGGGTCTGGAAGTGTGTGTGTATGTGTGTGACACCCATTGAGCTGTTACTGGAAGTCAGAATTAAAATTCAGGGAGTGTTTTCCCTCGTTTCTGTACCCAGGTACCTGCTGCATTCCTCGTGGAGGTAGGAGGGAGCAGGGGGAGTCTGTGGTGTGATCACCCTGTGGTCATGTCCTGGGTGCTGGCCCTGACCCACCTGCGAGGCCTTGGTACTCTGTGGCATGGCTGCGTGGGAGGGGTCACTTCTTGGTGCCTCTTCTCTCCTCCAGTGGGAAGACAGCTGGAGCTACACCTCCCTGCCCCTACATAACTACAGGGAAGACATTAAGAACCAGCTCGCCTGCCGGCAACATCTGGGAACTGTACCCACAGGCTGGTGTTTTGGAAGGGCAGGAAGATGCTGGTGGCCCTGCCGCCCAAGGTGGACCTAGTGAGGGGCCGCTCCTGAGCACTGCAGTTACCTGTGCCCCAGCCCTTCCCGGCCACAGACTGGTCACACCCAGGATTCTTCCTCCAGTGGGAGTGGGGTTGGCTGAGGCTGCAGAGGCCCCGGGCCCTTGGAAAGTTGGGGTCCACCCTGCTTCTCTTCCTCTCCCTTGTGTTCACCTGCCAAAGCTCCACCCACCAGGGACACCTGCTCTCCCTTATTGCCCGGAGCAGCCCTCAGCAACCTGTCCCTGTGTGGCAGCCTGGCTGGGCTGGAGGACAGGTGAGCCAGGGGCTTGGGGATTCGCGAGGGCCGCTTCCCAGGTCTGTGGTCTCTCCGGGGCCGGATCCTGGGCTTTAGCTTCAGCTTGTAGATGGACGGCACCCTCTGGGGTTTCCGGAGTGTTCTCCTGCCCTTGACCGGGTGTGCTTTGGTTGTGCCAGAACCCAAGTCCAAAGGTGAAGGCATCGTGGCTTCCGGACTGGCGGACACCATGGGGGCTGAACGGTCCTGTCCTCCGGCAGGTGGGCCCTTCCACATGCTTGTACTCTTGACACTGACACTTGTTGGTCCACTTTGTCTGGCTCCCAGCTTCTCTTCAGAACCTCCTGGGCCTGCGGGAACAGCTGGTTTGGGGGAGCTGGTAGGGGCTGCCTTCCAGGCCTCCAAGTCTACTTTCAGGAGTGCTGGGGGACCCTGAGCCAGCTCTTGAATGACTTTGTCATAAAGACCACCAGGCTCAGGCCATCGTGGACCCAGGCTGGGGACATAGACTCCACTGCGAGGGATGCCCTGAGGCCCTGCGCTCCCCACTGCTAGTAGCTTCATGTTGGCCACGATGTCTTGGTTGAGATCATGGTGGATGGTGAGCGGCTCCTCGGACCCGTCCTCCTGGGGGTCCCCAGCGTTTGCTGTGACATGGGTGTGTGGTTTCTGCTCCCCTATTGAGCAGTCCCCATGACTGGTTCCAGAAGGGTCTCCCACAGCGGCCCTTAATAGGAAAGGGCCTCTCCCTGGCTCTGTAGTGGGACCTCCACCTGCACTGCCTGTTGTCAGGGGGTGGGTTGCAGGCAGCTGGCCAGGGGTCTTGATGAGTTCTTTGACAGGAGATGGCTTCCTGGGGGGCAGGGAAGGACCCCTGGTCTTTCCCTCCAGGGGCGGCTTGAATCTCTCGAGGGACTGGGCTGAGCTTGAGGCACGAAGCAGGGGAGAAGGTCCTTTTGCTGACGTCCCCTTGGCAGTGGCCTGAGGGACACAGAGTGTCTGGGGCATGGGTGCCCTGGCATGAGCTCCCCCGCTGGATGTCTCCTCAGGAATCCAAGGGGTGGGAGCCCATCCTCTGGGGAGTGCGGGCGAGCGGTGCTCTGTCCTCCCGAGCAAGGTGTACGGGGGGGCAGAAGCCAGCTGGGTACTTGGGGGGCTATTCTCAACCTGCAGCAGCCTCCGGGACGGGATGTCTGCTGTCTCCTGGGACCTGCAAGAGAGAAGCGCAAGGCTGGATCAGCAGACAAGCCAGGCCCGCGGGAGCCCCTCTCTCTAAGGCAGGGCTGGCTGCAGGAAGGGGTGGCCGGTGGTCAGGGGGCTGGGCCTCCTGGGAATGAAATCCTGGCTCCTCTATGCCCCAGGGTCCTCCACTTCTACCCCCAATTCCCCATGCAGCGGATTCAAGGAGCCTGGTCCAGGCGTGGTACCTCAGACCCCTGCAAGATGCTGCCAGACCAGAGGTCTGTCCACCAGAGGGCGCAGTCTGTCCACCAGAGGGCACGGTCTACCCTGGAATGGCACAAGGCCCTTGGGTGAGTCTGTTCCCTTTCTGAGCCTCAGTCTCCTTGTCTGTGAAACAGGTGGGTTGATGGAGTCACCAGAAAATCCCAAGCTTTTTGGTTCGGCCCCTGCCCCTCCCCCATACCTCAGGAAGGGCACCATCTCTCTGAAGACCCCCACTACTGCTCCTTGTTCACGATGGGGCCTGGGGGAGGAGGATGCTGGGGGTCTCAGCTTCCGGCCTGCAGCTGTGTACGTCTTCCAGTCCACAGCGGGCAGTGGGCTCTGAGAGCGGCTGATGGTCATCGTGGGCTGGGGCTGTGAGGGGCCATCCAACACCTTCACCTCATGTTGAACCGGGGGCGTGGGGGGCTTCAAGGAGCTGCCCGGCTTGTGTGCTACCAGCACCGTCCACCGGAGAAAGAAGAAAAGGGAGGGCTCAGTCACTGCACGCCAGCCCCCTCTTCCCATACCCAGCTCCCTGCGTAGACGGGAACCCTACGGTGGCAGCACCAGTGTCCTCGTAGGAGATGGGGGACAATGTGTGTGCAGGCCCACAGCTGTCACTTAGATGCTGTGCTCATTTGGGGCTGACTTGAAGGGATCGTGGAGATCACGGGAATACCAAAAGACCTTCCAGGTTATACTTGGACCAGCTCGCAGACCCCAGGACCAGCACCGTGGGCACCAGACTGAACAAATGCTGATTCTGTGTGGCGTGTGCGCCCTCTGCTGGCTATCCTTAGCTCTGCACCATGACTGCTGGATCCTTCCCTCCCTCCCACCTACATTCTCCTTCCAGCCTCCCAGCCCAGCCGCACTCACAGAGGGAGGTACAACGGCAGGGGTCATGCTTGTCCAGGTAATGGCCGAGTGTGTCCCAGCCGCCCCCGACACGCACCATCACGTGGTCCCGCAGGATCTGAGGGTGCGAAGGTGAGGCTGAGAGCCAGCAGAGGGCAGCCCACGGCCCTCCAGTGCTCACCTGAAGATGCTGGTCCTACGCTCATGCCATAATGAACACCCTCTTAGATGCACACACCTCTTGGGTGTGCTTGGAGCGTGCATATTTGCTGTGTGGGTCTCCCCAGGCCCGTGTTGGGGAAGGGACAAGCTAGGACACAGGGAGTGACCCCCACAGCTGGATGAGTAATCCCCCCACATCCTGGTGCTAGCAGGCCCTGGGGTACCCCCTCCTCTCCCTTGGCTGGCCAGGTGCTAGCCCAGTACACACTCATCTGGCTGCCTTTGACTCTGCCCCTGAGGTGTGTGCACTGCAGTCCACAGCAGTCCCAACTGCACCTGTCTCTGCACTAGCCTTTTACCTCAGCTGAAAAATGGGGCCACCGTCCCCAGCCCTGCCCGCCTCTCAGCACTGCTGCCTTGGCAGGGTCTGTGTGAGGGCTCCCCCCAGGCTCGCTCCACTTTTCAGGTGGCTTGTGCTCACACCAAGGGCTCGGCTGAACTTCCAGAGCTGCTGGCCGCATCCCTGCATATAAGCCACCTGCAGCCAGGTACAGTGGGAGGCCCATCTCGGATCCCTACTCCTATGCACATGGCAGCAAGTGCTGACCTGGGTCCATTGGGCGTGGGCAACAGGGTCCGTGCACTAGTACAGACATGCTGCTCTCACTGCACCTGTGCGTGGGTGTGATAGGAAAGTGGGGCTTCCAGGAATGGATAAGGCTGTAACGCGGACAGGATCACCAGTGTTGCCACATGTCGCCTAGAATTCTCAGGGGGCCAGGAAAGCCCCCGAGACCTGGTAGCTTCTGTGCTTGCCTTCAGGCCCCATGGGAAGATAGCCTCGCAGCCCCTCTGCCCCCAGGGGGGACTTACACGGATGAAAATGACGGTGTTGGAGTCCCCCACTTGGTACTTGCCCTCCGACACCTTGACCATGGAGAACTGCACTGGGCATGTGCAGCGGCTCACGAGGCTCTGCACCTGTGGGCGGGGCAGTGCACTCAGCCTTCCCCTCTGCGCAGGCAAGTAAGGGCTCTGCCTGCCCCCACAACCACCCCCAAGTTTTCTACTGAGGTCAGGGCTGAGGGCTGTGGGGAAGCCCTCAGCCCTGAGGGCTTTCCAGAAAAGACTGGAATGATCCAGTGAGGACAAGACCTGGAGCAGTCACCTACAGCCCCAGGCTTCGGGGTCAGTGCACGAAGGTGCTGGACGAAGGAGGTGGCCCAGGACTTGGGACAGGCTCCTCACTTGGAAGCCTTGGGTTAAAAGACCTCCCTGAGCTCCAGGTTCCTCGCTGGTAGAAATGGGGTTTGTCACAGTTAGGATCCTTGGCAAGGAAAGCCCCCAGCATTTGGCATGCCCCGGTGTGGGCATTCTTCCAACCAGACCCAGGCTATCCCGAGCCCCTGCTTACAGAATCGTTCACCTTTACATCAAAACTCCTGGGAAAGCACCCTGAGGTGTAGACCTGGGGAGACCCGGATGCTCGGGTTTGTCTGAAGCCATAGCCACACGGCCCCTGGGGGCTGCACAGGCACCTCGGGTGCCAGGGACAGGACCCAGTGAGCAGTCCTCATGAGAAGCAGACGACAGGGGTCACGGGCACATTCCAACAGCTGCACTTGTGAGAAAGGAGCAGAGTAAGGAATGCAAGCATGGCAAGCACCAACGCCCACCAGATGCCCCTTCGTGCAGACCCTGTCCCAAGTCCCTGGCAGGGGCTGGCACCTGTGGCAGTCACAGAAAGGCAGTGCTGGGACCGGACGCCCAGCACAGTGGCTGCATCTGTGGCCGGAGAAGCAGTGAAACTCCAAGTTGAACCAAGGTGTCAGGGCTGTTTCAACAACCATCCCACAGAGGCTTGAGTGATGATTGGGGTAGCTGCAGGCACCAGTGGCTAACGTGACTGCAGGCCACGGCACAGCGCCTGGGTGCAAGGCCTAACTCCACTTCCCATTCCAACTTCTTGCTGATGAGCAGCGGGACTTGGGTCCCTGCAACCCACAAGGGAGACCCCAGGTGGAGCTCCTGGCTTCCTCCTGGCCCAGCCCTGGCTGTTGCTGGCATCTGAGGGGTGAACAGCCCATGGAGGGCTGGTTCCCTGTCTCCCTCTCCCACCGTTTTTCAGATAAAAGATACACATGCGAATCGGTGCCAGAGTGCGGGAACTGGAGCTAGCAGAGGGTGGCTAGGGGGTGGCTGCGGGCACTCGGGGCTGTGGGTGCTGCTCACCACGTGGTCCAGGTTGCGGAAGTGGCAGGGCCGGCGCGTGGGGGGCGCGGGCGGCGGGTGGGCCGTGGCCAGAGCTCGCTCTCGCCGCAGCTCCTCGTCGATCTCGGCCTCCAGTTGCACCAGGGCGGGCGCAGCCACGCCAAAGCGCCAGGCGCGGCGGCCCAGCTCCAGCAGGCACAGCACCACGCTCTTGACGTTCTTGCGCAGCACCAGGTCTTCGGTCTCAAACATCAGCACCTCTGGGTGGGCAGGGGAGAGAGGGCGTATGGGTGGCATGCATCTTCTGCAGACCCAGACCAGGCCGGCTCCAGCGTCCCTCCTCGGAGCAGTGCTGGCTGAATTCACCCGGGGTCTGGGCAGACTGCATTCATGGCAATGACTGGAAGCTTGGCCCCGCCCCGGGTCGGGAAGCAATTTGCTCCGAGCCCTGTGTCTTTAGTATCCACCAGGCCTTGCAACCCAGCTCTGTAGGGGCTAAAAAGGCTCAGCCCAGAGTCCTTGCTCTCTCCCACCCAGCTCTGTGACCCTGTGCTAGTCTGGACTAGACTCTGAGCCTCCTCTTGTCCATCTGAGACATGGGGTGACCATCAGTACTGGGGCGCCAATGGTTCTTCATCCTCCAGACCTGCTCCTCACTACCCTGCACGGGCCCTGCTTCACCCCTACCTACTTTGGCCAGAAAGGCTGAGTGACATTTGCCCCCTTCTCACCCATAGGCTGGGAACCAGTGGGATGGGGGTCCTGACATGCCAGGCTCTGGGCTCAGGGTGCAGCCCACCTATAGCTTTCCTGGGTTTCTTCCTGTGCTGGCTCTGTGCACCCCGCACCTCCGTGTGGGGAGCACTCTCCACATATAGCCCCCTTCTGAGGTTTCCTCACTTCCACTGCTAGTCTGGGACCACCTATCTGAGCTGCTGCTTCTGGCTCACAGGGTCACACGCCAGGTGCACGTGTACACACACACACACACCCTAACAGACACATGTACATACACACACACACACCCCCAACAGGTGCCCATGTACACACGCACACCCAACCACCTGGGGCTGTGACTTGTGTCCACCGCCAGAGGTCACCTTCCTTGGGCGCTGAGGTAACCTGTCTCAGACATGTCAATTTGCTGGGATTTCTCTGAGCTGGGGGGCTCTGAGGCATGAAAAGAGAGGTACTAGCTCAAGGCCGCTCTGGAAGGAAGATGCAGGCTCCTGACCCCCGCCTCCTTCCCCCTGCCCTCCCGGAGCTCCAGCCTAAACCTGAGAACAGGGCCAGATGCCCCCGAGGTTTGGGTGGGACCCGTGTAAGGTTACCTTGGATTCCCATCTCCTTGCGACACCACTGGATGAAGTTGGAGATGTTGTCCCTGGCCTGGAAGGTGCCTGGCTGGGCAGCCCCGTTACAGGCAACACCGGCCTGGGGTACAGAAAGTCTGTGGGCCTCGCCAGGAGCCCGAGCCACAAAGGCCAGCGCAGCCTCGGTGATGGCATTGGCGTGCTGGCATAGCACCAGGCCCGTCTCTAGCACTTGCAGGAAGTTGGCTGCGTCGATGTCCAGCCCATACAGATCCCGAAGCCACTCGGCCAAGTCTTCCTTCATGGCCTCCAGGTAGTGCTCGCTGGACTTGAAGGACCGGATGCTGCGCACAGGAGGCTGCAGGGTCCCAGGCCGCTTCCTGTGATCCTCGGGCTGGGACATGGCTGGAAGCCTCTCCTCTCCCGCCACCTGGTGTGTATTGGCCCAGGGTCTGCTCCCAAAAAGAACTGGGACTCCCAGCTCTGCTCCTTGCCGCTAGCTTCAGCCTCCAGGCCTGCCGGGCCCAACCTCCACCCCCCACATTCCTCAGGCCTAGCCAGAACTTTCCTTGCTTGAGGGCCCTGTGGAGACCTCACCCAGCTGGTGTCCAGGTAAGTCCCAGCGGGCTCCTCTGTCTCTGCCCCAGGCCTGGACAGGTTAAGTGGGCCACCTGCCTCCGTCTGCCAGCGCCAGAGCACAGCTAGCCGGCAGCCTCTTGGTCTGCTTCCCTCTCCTCTCCTTGGAGACTGCTACAAACACTCCTTCCCGCAGGCAGCCCTGCAGGGCGGCCTGCAGCCAGCCACCAGGGAGCAGGGGGGTGGGGTAAAGCAGGGCCTGGGGAAAGCAGTGGGAGAAACCCCAGAGGGAAGGCACAGATGGCAGAGGACCATGGAGCCCCTGAGTAGCCATCCTGCTGCCAGCCGCTCCAGGCCTGGGTCCTCCAGCTGCAGGATGGGAACAGCCATGCCCCTGTGTCTGGGTTGTGTGAGGGTTAATGCACCTGGCCGTGGGCACGTGCAGGCTCCTGCTCCCAGAGGTCCCCGCTCGGGCAGTCTCTGGGCCCTTCTCTCACCATGTGGATCTTCTGCAGCAGGCTGTCCGGCCCAGGCACTGCGGCACGGCGATGCCTTCACCCCTCTGGGTGGGCACTGTGCTGCAGTGGGTGAAGCTGCTGCCTGCGATGGCTGTATCCTGTACAGGTTCAAGTCCTGCCTCCCCGTGCTTCCTATCCAGCTCCTTGCCAATGTGCATGTGTGAGGGAGGGCAGCAGATGGTGGCCCAAAGTGCCCAGTCCCTGCCATCCACGTAGGAGACTAAGATGGAGTTCTAGGCTCCCGGCTCCAGCCTGGCCCAGCTGTTACTAGCATGTGGAAAATGTCTCTCTCGTATGTGTCTCTCTCTGTTACTCTGAAATAAAATAAATGCCTTTTTAATGCTTTTAAGCACTTATTTTTATTGGAAAGACAGTTATAGAGAGAGGAGACAGACATTTCACCCCCTGGTTCACTACCCAGAGGGCCACAATGGCTAGACCTGGAGCCAGAGCCAAGAGCTTCTTCCAGGTCTCCAACATGAGTGCAGGGGACCAAGGACTTGAGCCAGCCTCTGCTGCTTCCCAGGCCACCAGCAGGGAAATATATGTATATATGTAGTATTACTATAATATATATTATTATAATATTACATAATGTATATTATATTACATATAATATGTATCTAACATTTATTTTTATTGGGAAAGCAGATATACAGAGAGGAGACAAAGAGAGAAGGATCTTCCATTTGCTGGTTCACTCCCCAAATGGCTGCAATAGCTGGAACTGAGCTGAGTTGACCCAAAGCCAGGAGCCCTACCGTGTGAAGACCGAGAAAGGATCATTTTCTCTTAAAGCTCTGACTTTTCCTCCCTCCACATCCCACTGCTCTACGGGACTTGCCTCTTGCCCAGGCCCAGCTTTCCCCTGGACCTGGCGCCATCATTCCCTTCTGCTTCTTGGAATGAGACCAAGGAAGTGGCAAGGACCAAGTGGGGAGTATGGGATGAGGAAGGGATGATAGGACAGAAGCTGACACGATGCTCGGAGTGCGTGCTGCAGGCCAGGTGCAGCGCCCTGTGAGACAGAGGAAGTGAGCAAGGGTCCGAGAGAGAGTGCTGGCCGTCAGAAGGCCGCTCACGGACAGGGTGGAGCTGCAACAGCCCCAGGGGCCGCAGCTGCCCTGGTTCCCTTCAGCATCTTTTGGGGGTGAGGGTGGGGGGACAAAAGTAGATTCCTGGGTGCTATTGGAGACTTCCTGGGCAGAACCCTGGGGGCGGGTGACATTCTAGTCCCACCCACTGTGACCCGACAGGGGCTCTAGGGACTAGAACAAGCTCTTGGGGCCTTGATCAGAGGAAGTAGGCAGTGCAGCTGTGGGAAGAATGGAGAAGCACAGTGAGTGGGACCGGGGGCAGGGTGGGGCCAGGCCGGAAGCTTGGGGCTCTAGATCCCAGCCTGGAAGTGTCAGCCGGCTCATCACCCGAGTGAGCCCCCGGGGGAAGTCACACCCTTTCTGGTTACCCATCCATACTCTCTGGAAACCCTCTGCCTTCTCCCTTCTGGTGACTTCTGTCCACTCCTCTCAGCCCTGTACCTGTTCCTGTGCTGGCCCTTGGAGTCTCTGGTCTGGACCATCCTATAGACTCATAAGGGTTAAGACAGAAGAAAAAGCGATTTTCCAACAACTGGTTCAACCTCAAATGGTACAACAGATGGGACTGGGCCAGGCCACAGCTAGGAGCCTGGAGCAATATCTTGGTCTCCCACATATGTGCAGGGACCCAAGCACTTGGGCCATCTTTCACTGCTTTCCCAAGCACAGCAGCGGAGAGCTGGATGGGACTCTGAGCAGCCAGGGCCTGGAGTCAGGCAGCTCCTGCTCCAGTGCTACTATGCCAGTGCCAAGGGGTCCCTCTTCTAGCCACACTGCCAGGTGTTGGGTGTCAGTCATCTGGCCACAGGTGGTGCCCAGTCGCGTTCAAGCAGACCCACTTTGAGGAGGGAATTGTCTATATAGGAAACAAAAGGCCAACAATCACCTGTTAACTCAGAGCAATCTGTTTATTGGCAACTCACCCAGCCAGGGAGCAGCTCCCCTCTCCAGAGCCAGTTAGAAGACAGGTGGTGGACCTTGGGCAGTCATGCTCCTTGCTAGCATTTGTTTGGTCGTTTCTAACTCCCCAAGCCCGAGGCTGGATGTGGTGCAGACACTTTCTCATGTCAACCTCTGCCTTTTCGGGGGGTCAGGGAATGGGCAACAGAGACCCCTCTTCCCTGGGGACAGACAGCGGCCTGTCTGTCCGCAGGCGCCACGACCCCCTTGTGGAAGAAGGAGCTGGAAGAGCCCGGGGCCGCGGAGACGGAGCAGGAGGACGCGCAGGAAGGCTCGGAGGAAGAGGACGAGGAGAGGCGGCCAGAGGAGCCGGCCGAGGGCGAGAAGGAGCAGCGGGAGGCGCAGGAGGCCGAGGGTCCCGAGCGCGGCTCCGTGTCCTACTGTCCGCTGCGCCAGGAGCCCAGCACCCAGCAAGTGGCGCTGGTGCGACGCGCCGACAGCGGCTTTTGGAGCTGGTTCAGCCCCTTGGCGCTGCTGGGCGGCCTGGCAGCTCCAGCCGACAGGTGAGGACGCGCCTGGGGGGGCCGGGAAGGCGCCGGGCACCGCGGGGTGCTGAGCGCTCGGTCCCTGGCCCGCAGGAAGCGGAGTGTCCCGGAGGAACGGTGCGTGCTGGAGACGCGGCGGCGACCCCCGCGCCCCGGGTGCTGTGCGCACTGCGAGATCCTGTTTTGTAAGAAATGCGGGCTCCTGCACAGCTCCCCAGCCTACGTGGCGCACTGCGTCCTGGAACACGCGGAGCTGGGTAAAGGCGGGGGCCGCCAGGGAGGGGGGGATGCCCCCTTGGGTGGGAAGACCTACGGTTGACGCAGGGTCCCCTCATCTGCCATCCAGCGCCCGCCAGCACGGAGTCCGGCGTCACCTAGAGCGCGTGGAGGGACCCTCAGCCCCAGGCAGAGTTCACACGTACCTCACTCCGCACCATGTACTAACAGCCCCACGTGCAGGCCCGTCCCAGATGGGCAGAGGAAATCACCTCTGGGCTTCCCTCTCTCCTCTAGGGGGACAAACCCTGCCCCACTTTCTCCTGAATCATCCAATAAAGCCTCAATGGAAGTGTCAGCGCCTGGAGGCAGTGAAGTGAAACAGGCAGCGCGAGGCTTTGCCCTGAAGGGCAGTCCTGGCTGTCCTAACCCCCTGCCGAGAAGGAACGGAAGGCTGGAGGCTAGGACCCCCCCCCCCCCCCCCCCCCCACTGCCGGCACCCAGCCCCCAGCCGACGCCCTGCTCTGCTCCCAGGCCCTGACAGGTGTGGGATAGGCGGGGCACCTGAAGAAGCTGATATTGTCGTACATGGCAGCCGCTGCTGAGGCACAAGCTGGGAGCTGGTTGCTTCAGCAGGCATGCCCCTATTCTTGCCAGACAGCAGGTGCCTGGGGAATGGGGGTAGGGGGAGGGAGGTAATGGTGGTGCTGCTGCTGTTGCCTGGAGAATAGGGCCACTGTGAGCAGAGGTCTCCCCTAACCTGCAAGTGCCTGCAGCAGCGAGCTGGCCTGGAAGGTTGGAGGACAGTTTGTCCCTTAAGGCGAGGTGGGCCCTGTCCTCCATCACTATCGCACGCACAGCTGGCTTCCCTTCCCCCCCCCCCCTTGCCTGGCTGGGCTGGACAAGCAGGGGCGCCCCGCTTCCTGCAGCTGCACACACTGGCTGCACCTGCACGGGACTCAGAAGCTGTCCCTCGGGAGGCTGCTTCCCGCCTCCAGGCCCAGCAGCCAGGGGTATCTCTACATTCCAGCTGCCCAGGAAAGGACAAAACGCCAGGGGGTCACACCAGCCTCCCTCCTGCTGTGACCCCGTGCCCCAGAGGTCCGGTGAGGTAGAAGACCCTTGACTTTCACGTTCCCAGCTCCTTGGAGGGGAGGCCTCTGATGAGCCGAGCCAGGAGGATGTTTAGCTGTGTTATGCGGCCTCCCGGACTGGGCCCGGCGCTGCCATCTCGCAGGTGGACTGCACCATTAGCAGAAGCAGCAAAATCCCTGAGGCGTGGGGAGCAGCAAGGTCAGGGGACAGGAGTAGCCAATGGGACCTGGGGCCTCTGCTTGCTTCTCAGTGGAGTAGGCCCACCTGCTGATGCATGGTGGCAACAACGCAGACACATCACTGCCAGGCCTTGGCCGGGGAGGCTTGGGAAATGCCAAGCCAGGTCGTACTAGGGGACAGGAGAAATGACTGGGCCCTGAGGGGTCCAGGAGTTCCTGTGCCTTCAGAACAGGGTGCCCCCCGAGTTGGCATGCCAACACCCCATCCAGGGCAGCTCCGTGGCCCAGCGGCCTGAGGTGGTGACCCGCAGTCTGGCCTGGTCCAGGCTCCAGTAGCGATCGTCTCTGAAGAAGAGAATGGAACCATCGGGCCTCGGCAGGGCGCCGCTGATCTCCTTGGGGACACCGCCCCAGTCCCGCAAGCTTCGCGGGTAGTAGGGCTCCGCGCGCGGTTGCCCTGGGGCCAGCACGTAGTAGCGGGTACCCTTGAAGAGGACCAGGCGACGCAGAGGTGGGAAGAAGAGGGCAGCGTCGGGGTGGCGGGGCAGACCCCCTGCTCGGCACAGCTGCGGTGAACCCCACACTGGCTCAGGGCCCCGGAATCTCCAGCACCGACTGCCTTGGGGTAGCGGGAGAGAGAGAGGGTGAGCGCTCCACCGCACCTCTGCCAGTCAAAGGAGAGGTGGTAGGGGAGGTGCAGACTGTCATGCTTTACACTTCCAGCAGGCGTCAGCAGAGGGCAGGCAGCAGGGAGCAGAGCCTGTCCGGGGTGCTTGGGCGAGGGATGAAAAGCCGGCAGGGCCCGCTGTCTACACTACCGTTACCCCAGGTTCATCCTATCGGGCTCGGGACGGTTTTGTTCCCGGCTGTGTCCCCCCGAGAAGGCACAGGCACCGTATCAGTTGAATGTGCACTGTTTACTGAGGTATTACCATGCATCCGGCAACATGCTGCGTGCTCTAAGCTCAATCTTTTCAATCCTCTTTCCCCACGTGTGTTTTTCCCCATTGAAGAAATGCAAGCTCCAAAAGTTAGGGGAGATCTCCCAAGACCTCACAGCCAGGAGTCCAAGGAAGGTATGGTGCCTGGCTGCAATGCAGTCCCCTGCCTTCTTCTAGACTGCTCCGGAACACTCCGGGGGAAAGCTGCTCATCTGTTGCTTCCCAGGCACCTGTGGGCAGAGCCGCCTCACCTCCCTTCATGTGGGACTTACCACGGACCCCTCCCTGCTCTGTGTCCCCTTCTGTCCTCGGGCAGGACACCTCCCTTCTCTCTCTGCTGTTTCAGCCACCCCCGGGGGTTGGTACCTTTGAAGAAGTAGAAGTCTCCATCCTCCAGCGACACTGCGGCCGCCTCAATGTTGGGGGGCAGCCCAGTCCACCTGTCCTGAAGTGGACGCGGCTCTGAAACGTTTCCATCCGCTGTCACCTCCCAGAAGTAGCCCCCTTTAAAAACGTACAGCTGCTGCTGCCCGTCTGTCCAGAGACAAGAGAGCATGGAGGACCATCAGCCTCGGAGGGAAGGTGGCCCACCTCTGCAGGCAGGTAAGGATGTGGTGGACTCAGCGGGGGGCAGACGGGAACGTGTGCGCGAGAAAGCATGGCTCCCCAACCCCCAAACGTGGTGTGGCTTGGTGTGTCTGCGTTTGGTAACCCCCTCTCACTCCCCTCAGCCCAGGGTCTGGTGGGGAGGAGGCAGAAGGAAGCGAGGAGTGGGTAGGGCCTTCTTACCGACAGTGATGGCATCGAAGGGAGAGTGGCAGTACTTGGGACTCTGGGTTTCAGATCGCCTGTCCTGGGGGCCATGGGGGTCCCAGGCTTCAAAGTCTGTGAACAGTTTCCCGGGGAGCTGGGCGGCCACGGAGCGCCCCAGGGGCTTCCCTTTATGGGGGCGGGGAGAAGAGGGAGAGAACACGTGGGGGGGTGTGCTGAGAACTCAGGGCCGCCCGCCGCTTCAGGATGACCTAGGGGGCGGGGGCAGGGAGGAAAGTGGGAGCTGGGGCTTGAGTTGCCCCTCACCCCAGGCGTCTCCCCTTCTACCGGAGAGCCTGGGGCCAAGCAACGGTTAGGAACTAAGAAGGGAAGGGCGTCTTGGTGCCCCCAGCCCCCGGGCAGCACAGGCGGCACGAGGGCGGGGATGCGCACTCCCAGCACACACGCTCTGTGTGGTAACTGCAGCAATTACAGCAGTAGCCCCACGGCTATCCCTGGCTTGGGGGAGGATTGAGGCGCCAGCGGGGCAGGCCTGCTCCCGACTTCTCTCCCGCAGCTGCGTGTGAAGGTGCTGGGAGCAGAGGAAGTGCCTGGCCGGGACAGACGCTCGCGGACAGCAGGTGCTGATCCTGCCTGGGCTACAAAGCACGCTCACAGCCCCGCGAGGGAAGCCGGTTTTCAGCTGGTACCCTTTTCACAGCAGGTGAAGCTGAGCGCAACCGCTGACCCGAGGTGAGTGGGAGCAGGTGTGCGGTGGGGAGGGGGTACCGCTGCAGGTTGTCTGAAGTAGCTGGCGCTAGGGGCTGAGGAGATACTTGGGGGTCGGGGAAAGGACTTTGGGGGGAGATGAGGGGCGGGACGCTGGTGATGTTGGAGTCAGCGACTTGGGAGAGATCAGTTGAGTAGAGCCAGGGCTTTAGGGACGCGGGGCGGGGACCCTGTGGAAGGAGCCGGGGGTCAAGGCCGGGGCGGGACCGGGGCTCACCATAGAGCCGCTGCACGGCCAGCACGTCGTCCCAGCTGAGCAGCGCGTCACGGCCCAGCCTCTTGTAGTAAGGCGCCATGAGGGCGCGCGGCGCGGGCGAGTGGGTAAGGCCCAGCGTGTGGCCGATCTCGTGCGCCAGCACCACGAACAGGTTGCGCCCGCGGCGGCTCAGGGACCAGCGCTCGTCCTGGTCGAAGTGCGCCTCACCCCTGCGGGGCAGGAAGGCATGCGCCAGAGCTCCCCCTGCACGCGGTGGAGAGGGTTAGGGGGCAGCCTAGACCAGGTCATGCAGCCCCTCCCCAGTCCCCAAAGCAGATGGTGTCGTGGCGGGCTGTGGTCTGCAGATGATGTTGTGGCGTGGACTGTGGTCTGGGACAGATAAAGCATGGAGCCCAGTTGCCCTAGTTCCCACCCTACTTTTTGTCATTTGCCAGCAGTGTGACCTTAGGCAGCCGGTCTTACCTCTCTGCGTCCTAGCCCTCTGATTTGGGAATGGGCACAGTGATACTGAGCTTGCCTAATGATGGGGCCTAACGTCCTGCTTCTGGTTGTGGGTGCTGGATGCGCTGGGTGTGGAAGGCTCCTGCCTGTAAACTTAGGAGATGGTGTACTTTCCCCTGTGTGTGTGTGTGTAGGCCCATGCCCATGTTCTCCTGCCGTCCTTTCTGCCAGGGTTCCACTGGAGGGGAGCATAACCCTCTGCTTGTCACTGGAGTGAGCAGAGGGAGTTGGGCTGGACCTGTGATTCTCAGGGTGGAGCTTATTCCAAGGGCAGTGTCCAGCACCCCGCCCCTCACAGCAGGGACAGTGACCCTGGCACGGGAGGTGGGAGGCTGGCAGCCTGGAGGCTTGGCGAGGGTCCCCTGTGTGGGGACTGACAGAGGCCAGGAGGCTGGCATTCAAAAGATGCTTGAGGAAGGTGTCTGGCATGGGGCTGAGATGCCATGCCTGCATCCCATATCTGGGCACTGGGGTTCAAGGCCTGGGTCCCTTCCTGTTCACAAGCACCCTGAGCAGCAGCAGGTGGAAGTTTGGGTGTGTGGGTCCCTGCCACCCATGGGAGGCCAGGACTAAGTTCCTGAAACCAGGTTTCAGCCTGGCCAGTGCCACCTGCAGGCAGAGAATCTCGCGCGCTCTCTGCCTTTCAAATAAGAACAAGTACTTCATCTTTCAAAAAAAGAGGAAAGGCTCATGGGGCATGAAGAGTAGGCCACAGTGGGAGGGGTCCCAGTCCCAAATCGGGGGTCTGCTGGGGGAGTGCCCTGTGCTGACCCCAGCTCTTCTGGGTGCGGATGTCAGCATGCTGTGTGGGATGCTGAGAGCAGTGAGCTACACGAGTGTGCTCCTGGGAGATTCCTGCAAACCTAGCTTTCCCCCGTCCTAACCCAGGTCAGAGCACAGGCCTGGAAGCAGGATAGTGCCAGGGAGGTGGGGGCTCCAAGTCCCCTGTTTGAAGAGGTCTGATCAGGCTTCCCGTCTTCCTTTGGAAACAGGAGATGCCCAGGTCGCTCCTGGTTCACTTCTGAAGGTCAGAGATGGGCAAAGGGGCCGAAGGGGACAGTTAAACAGCAGCCAGAAGCCTGCAGGTCAGGGAAACAGAACTCTCTGTCTGTGGGTACACTTAGGTGTGTGAGCACTTCTGTGGCTGTGGGGGCTCTGTGGCAGGTGGCGAGCAGGGCCGTGAGGAGGGCTTAGAGATCTTTTAAGGCTCGGGTCTGGAGAACTCCACTCCTAGAGATCGAGAGGCCACGAGCTTAGCTGGGCCGGGGTTGGATGACGAGGTCTGGGGAGATTCTTCCCAGAGGAATTGAGACTCTCTGGAGTTTGCCAAGCACATCCCATGGAGCACCTCATATGATGTGTGGTACATACCAGGGCAGGAAACACTCTTCCTGCGTGCTTGGAACTTCCCAGGAAGGGGGTGTGGCTTGGTCAAAGCCACAGGGTGCATGACTATACCAGAGCCACCCAGGACTGGGTCCCCTTCTGCCACATGGAGAGAGGTTTTGTGCCAGCACCTGGGCCGTCGAAGGCATTGCCCAGCCCGTCGTTGTGGTCCCCTTGGAAGAAGGTAAGGCGGATGTCGGCAGGGACTGTGGCTGGAGCCTCCCAGAACTCCAGGGCTGAGACGTTGCTCCACAGCTGGAAGGCAGCATGCACAGCACCCCGCACTGCGGACTCGGGCAGGCGTTCAGGCCAGTTCACCAGGCGGTAGGAGAGGTGCTGCTTGTACCACCTATTGCCTGCCACCAGAAAGATGGTATCAGCCACATAGGTGCTCGGTCCCCAGGGATCCAGTATGGTAGGAGCAACACCATAACCCTTACCCTGGGCAGTCCCTGCTGACTAGGGGTACACTGTCCCCAGTGCAGGGGGTCTCCTGCAGTGTTCCCCGTCTAGTGGCTTAACCTATGGAGCTCCTCTTCTCACAAGGAGGTCCCCCCACAGCCTGGGATGAGCCTGAAACGAGCTCGGAGCCCCTTGCTCGGTGCAGTGCCTGCCCAGAGGGGCAGGGGGAAGGTGGGGCCCCACCCCCTCCAGGAGGCCCTCTTGGGGCCTTCCAGCGCCCCAGCCTGCAGCTGGCCTGCTACCAGGACATCATTTATGTGAGCCCTGCCCTGCCCCCTCACCCTCCCTATTCTGCGAGGACTCTGGTTGGCTCTGAGGTAAAAGACAAACAAGAACAAAGGCTGTGTTTTGTCACTCCCCCAGAGATATTTTTCCATCTCTGCTTTTCTCCCTTTGCCCCAAACAGCAACTCCTCCCTGAGGGCTAAGCTTCTGGCCTCTCGCCCCAGGCTGGGGTCAGCTGTGGCTGGGCCCTTTGTGCAGTTCACCATGCCCCTGGGGCCCGGAGTCAGGGGGCTGAAAGGACCTGCACCAGTTTGTCACCCCTGAGCCCTGTGATCTCAGAAGCTGAGCTGGAGGTGTCCAGCACATAACACACAGCTCGGAAGCTGCCCTTCTGAGCCCGTGGTGCTTGCCCGTTGGGGGAGGGGCCCGCCCGTCACAGGGCTCCTTTCACTGATCTGCAGTTGCTAACTGTGGTCCCTAACAGGGGTCCGAATGTCACTGCCTCAGGTCACGGCACAGCAGGGGTTCAAAACAGGGAGTAGAGGAGCTGGGCTCCCTGGCCTTCCCGCTAAGCAGTGGGGGAGGGGTGACCCTTCTCCCACCACGAGCCAGCCAGCCCAGCTCCAACAGAAGTAAGGCTGCAGCCCAAGCCTGTTTGGCCTGGCAGCCACCCAACCTCCTCCCAGCCAGTGACCAGCCCTGGGCTGGGGAAGAGAGCACACGAACATGGGAAGGCCTGGGGTCCAGAGGCACACCAGCTGGGCTTCCTTCTGCACAGGGGACCCTTCTACTGGTCACACCGTGAGCCCCGCCGTGCAGCACTGGCTGGTGCTGAGCCGGCGCACACCCCGCCGTGGGTGTCTAACTCCCACACTCTCTTCTCCTCCAAACCCTCCTCTTCAGCCAAGTGTAAGGCGGTTGCTTCTGCCTTTTTCAGTTGGAGGGTCCGCCTTCCAGGGGCGAACAGGAGGGCGGGCTATTCTCCATGACAGCCAGTCAAGTGCCAGGTTTCAGGGGAAAAGTCCTCCCCTCTGGGAACTGTAGATGTGGATATGCATGTGCATGCCTTGTGTGTGTGTGCACATATATGTGCACACACGTATGTGCATGTGTGTATATATGTACATATGCGGGGTGGGGGAGAAGAGGGAGATGAATAGGAACTGGAATTTAGACAAGATGACTGTTCTTGGGCAGAGGGTCACTTGAGTGCCTCTCCAAACTCCCATGGGGCCGAGTCCCAGGGGCACCTGGCGCAGCAGCCTGGCCCCACCCATCACCTTGCTCCAACATCCGAAGGGGAAGAGGGAAGGAGAAGGAGCTGGGAAAAGGTGGAGGCACAAGAGGCTTTGGGAGTCCTGAGTCCCAGTAAAAAAAAAAAAGGGGGGCCAGCATGCCAGTCCCTCCACCTGCAGACTGGCCTAACTGTGGAACCGCTCCAAACCTCTGTTTCCTTATGTGCAAGGTGGGGTCAGTGAGACTTGCACCCAAGTCAGGCATGAGGCTCAACCTCTCTGTATTGTGGAGCTGCCTAGTGTGTGGTGAGGGCTCAGTAACTATCCATAACCTTCTCCTGCTTCCCCACTCCAGATACAGCTGTGCCCCCTCCAGCTGTGCGAAGCACACTGGGGCTAAACATCAGACTGCCCGCACTGAGAGGAGTCTGGATGAGGGTGCTGGGGTAGCACATAAAACACCCAGCACGCAGGACAGCCGCATGGCACAGCAGGAGACATGCTGCATTTCCATTTTAGGCTTCCTGTTAATGTACAATGGGGAGGCAGGGGGTGATGGCTTGGGCTGTGTCCCTGCTCCTCACCCCATCTCCTTGGCTCCCAGCTTCTGCCTGGCTGGTGCAGGCATCTAGGGAAGTGAACCAGCAAGTGGGATACTTAAAAAATACCCACAATACCCGGTTACATGTGACCATTTGTCTGAAATCCAAATGGGACTGATTAGCCTATATTTTGTGTGGTAATTGGTTTGCCACTGTCTTCTGTCCAGAAGGGATGCTCCCAACTGGGACTCCATGAGTGTTTTCTCTGGGCCATGGGAACGTGAGATGAACCAGGTAGCCCTGAGTTCGGACCCCAGGGCAGCAGCTAACCAGTGCATTTTCCCAACAAGCTCTCTACTGGGTAGCCAGGGACCATTCCTCCTTTTTTAGTGGGAAAGGGCCTGAGTCTTGGATAAGGGGGAAAAACTGCAGGGATGCAGCCGAGGGGTGTGGCCACACCACTGAGACCTGAACCAGCCTCTCTGCTTGTTTTCTCTTCTTTATTTGAAAGGCAGAGAGCGAAGGGAGACCTCTTCCATCCTCTGGTTCACTCCCCAAATGGTAACAAAAGATGAGGTCGGGATCACAGAACATCACGTGCACTTCCTGCATGGGCAGCAGAGACCCAAGTACACGAGCTATTGCAATACCTGCTGCTTCACAGAGCATCAGTGGGAAGCTGGCAGTGAACACTGAGCAGGGACTCAAAGCCAGCCATCCTGATTGGAGGATGCAGGTGTCCCAAGGGGCATCTTGACTGATACGCCAAACTCCCCCCATGTTATCTCAATTCTGCCAGCACCTCCCGAGGTTGTGCCTCCCTATCTCCTACATCATCCTCCCCTCTGTGGCCAGAAGCTGGAAGACAGAATGTGCTGACTGCTCCACCAGGCCTGTAGTCAGCACGGGACCCCAGAATGGCTCAATGTATAGATGCCATGGAATGGACTGGCAGATGCCTGGAAAGTCACCCTCCCAACAGCAGAGGGAAACTGCCCATGGATCAGCTAAGAAATGGGAATACACGGTATGCCTTCTGTCCTGTCCAGAATAAATGCAGCTAAACTCCAAAAGTACTTAACACAGATTGCAACTGGCAATAGCCTAAAGTCCTCATTGTAAAATTAATTAAAAGTGAAAGCCTGATGAAAAAGTTAGAAATCCAAACTGAAAAACTGATAGGAAAAACTGATAGGAAAAAAATTATACTTAAAGCAATGCGGATGTTAAAATTACAATCAAACTTGTGTGCAAAACATGGGCCAGAAAAATCAGATTTTCTTCATAAATCTTAGATTGGTAATTTGACCCTGAAACATGGGATTTGGCAGAAGAGGGAAGTAGGGGAGGGAATAACGTGATGAAAGGCAGAATCGCGATGGCAGAAACCCTCGTGGGTCAGACATGCTGTGATGAAACGTTCAGAGCAGGCAAAACCGCAGACACAGAAAGGAGATTAGTGGTTGCTAGGAGGGCTGGGAAACGGGGTATGGAGTGATTGCAAATGGGCATGGGGTTTCCTTTCGGGGTGATGAAATGGCTTGGAATTAGATTGTGGTCATGATTGCACAATTTCACAAATATACCTGAAACCACTGAGTTGTACGCTATAGTGGGCAAACTGCACGGTACAAGAATTCTATCCCTTCAAAACTGTTTATCAAGATGCTATGACTGAAATCAAGTCAATTGAGGATTCCATTTTGGTCTGTCATGGAGAAGAATCAATTCTGACAGCAATAACCTCTGTAAGATATACATGGAAAATATTGGCCGCAGTTTAACTGCATTGCATAGCAAATGCATCCAGGAAATCAGTGGCCTGAGAAGGGTTTGACCCGGAAAACACTTGTACAATTCATACTTGAACAAATGTATCCATGAAGGTACAAATGTGATTTGAATGCCTTCATTCACAATTCTGGTCCTCGGGTCAAGAGCTGCTGTTTCCCCTCCATCCCCTTCCTAGGGAAGAGCGAGCACAGAACCAAGTCCGTTTTTGTAGCCATGGCATTTTCACAGTGCTCACCTTGCCTTGCAAAGCGTTTCTTACGTCTCATTTTGGCTGCACGTCCAGCAAACAGGGCACCGATCCTCTCAGCCCAGGAGGCCTGACTGTCAGTGTCTGCGACCCCACAGCGGGGACGCATCATCTGGTGCAGGGTGGCCCGGTCCAGCACACCACTGACCGGCAGCTGGGACAGCCACTGGAACTCTCTGTCAAGAGGAACTGAGATAAAGGACCACAAAGGGCAGGCAGGTGTAGGGATGAGGGCAGGGCTAGCGTGATGATGCTGGCCTCCCAGGAGGGAGGGGAGGGTTGGAGCCCTAGCACCCCCAAGCCCTCCACACCCCACCACCCTACCTGATGGCATTGCTGAATTGTGTAGAGGTGGGAGCTTTGGAGACTTGTCCATCTAGGTATCCATACTTCTCCAGGAAGGCCTAAGGGAGAGACAGACTGCTGTTTTTTCCTACCACGCTGCATTCTTGCCCCCTCCCGTGTTGCTGAGGGTCCATGGTGCATGCATCCTGCCCAATCTTCTCTCATGTTCCAACAGGGCATGTGAACCAAAGAAGAAAGAGTCCTGGGATTCAAATCAGACTGGACTCCATTGCCTGCCCAGCTAGAGGCTCTCAGGCAAGTACGCGACCAAACATTTCTGCATGCTAACTTTCTTCTCCTGACATTGTAGGAAATCTAGCAGGACAGTGCCAGACAACAGAGCTATGGGCTCAGGGGTCAGGCCTGCCTGGGTTGGAAATCAGCTGGCAGGTCACTTCTCGGCTACATGGGGGCTTGGTAATAGGATGCAGCACGGGACTTTGTCTGATGACCCATCACAATGGTGTTTATAACACTTAATACAGGGCCTGTCACATAGGAATAACCCCACACCAAGCAGCTTTTACAGTATGTACTAACTAAAAGACCCTGTTCGTGTGTATCTAATTTGCTCCTGGGCATCTAACTTCTCCAGAATCATCCCATATGGAACAGGAGCTGGTCAAGGGCTGGTTGTGCAATACCCAAAGTCATACTCTGGTTTTATCCTAAGCAATTCTCTTTCCTTAAAATGCAGATACAGCTAAGGCCCTATAAACAATAAATACACTTACCCTCATCTTTGCAAATGATATAAAAAGCTGACCTTTTAGAGATGTACTGTGTATTTGGGAGGTGGTGGATGGGGGACAGTACGCAAGTAATGCTATTCGGTGTTTCATTTCCCAAATGCCCAGAAGTTGGGAACTCAACCCAGGTCTCCCACATGGATGGCAGGGACCCACTATTGAAGCCGTTAATAAGAATGCACATTAATAAGAAGCTGGATTGGAAGTGAAGTCAGCACTCAGACTCAAACACTCTGATATGGAACATGGTTTTACATCTTAAGTATTGTACCAAATGCCTGCCCCTAGAAAGGTGTAGTTAGACACCTGGGCCCGGCACGATAGCCTAGCAGCTAAAGTCCTTGCACTGAATGTGCCAGGATCCCATATGGGCACGAGTTTTTGTCCTGGCAGCCCCACTTTCCATCCAGCTCTCTGCTTGTGGCCTGAGAAAGCAACTGAGGTTGACCCAAAGACTTGGGACCCTGCCTTTGTGTGGGAGACGTGGAAGAGGCTCTGGGGTCCTGGCTTTGGATTGGCTCAGCTCTGGCCATTGCAGTCAATTGGGGAGTGAACCATCAGACAGAAGACCCATCTCTCTTTGTCTTTCCTGCTCTGTATGTCTGCCTTTCCAATAAACAATAAATACATATTTTTAAAAATGATAAAAAGTAAAATTAGACACCTGCAACTTCCCTCTTTCATTATTTATTCTTTTTTTTTTTTGCCATGTACTGGGCAGTCTGCTACGTGCAGTGGTTGACAGACAGACATCCCTAAAGGAGCTTCTTTACCTGCACATGGACAGAGCACAGGGACAGTGAGGGAGGTGAGTGGGTGCTGTGAAGACAGATGGGATGCGATGATGGATGAGTAGGAAGGGGGAGCCAGGGAGGAACCCCCTAAGGGGCTGATATTTGGCCTGACTCCTAAAGACACAGGCGCAGCCAGCCCTGTGATGGACTTCAAGAGGGAAACAGAACTCGCTGAAGTGCCCAGCTAGAACGCTGTTGGCATGTGTAAAGAACAGAGGACCCACCAAGCCCAGCCGGCATGCAGAAGCAAAGGTCAGAGAGAGTGGGGCAGGGCTGCCAGCCAGCGCAAGAAGCACAGATTTATTTTAGTTTCACTGTTGGATTAACTGTGAGAGGTGGAAGAAAGCAAGGAGTCCGGATGGCTCTGGAGGTTTTGGTTTGGAAGGCAGCATTGTTTACTCTCTGGGGAAGCTGGGGGGGCAGCACGGGGGTGGGGGGCACGGAATAAGATTAATGCAGTGACGTCAAAGTAGCTCAGGCTGTGTGAGCCTAGGGTTCAGACAAGCAGCTGAAACCTTTAAGTTTGTAGACCATGCAAGATCACAGGCCTGGATGAGGCACACGGGGAAATAAGGAGCCTTTGGCACGCTGCCTGTCATATTCCTGGATGAGGCAAGCGGGGAGGGATGCCTGCTTCTCCAATGAGCAACGTTGCTTTTTTTTTAAGGATTTATTTTATTTATTCAGAAAGGCAGAATTAGAGAGGGAGAGAAAGACTTCCATATCTGATTCACACCATGAATGGCTGTAATAGTCAGGGCTGAGCTAGACCAAAGCCAGGAGCCTCCCACAGGTAGGCAAGTTCCCAAGCTTGGGCCATCTTCTGCTCTTTTCCCAGGCATGTAGCAGGGAGCTGGATCAGAAGTGGAGCAGTCAGGACTCGAAGTGTCACTCAGATAGGATGCCAGGCATCATAGACATCAGCTTCACCCACTGTGCCACAATGCTAACTCCCCCGGTGACCAAATTCTTTGAGGTCACTGAAGAGAGGGGCCTCCTTCATCCCGACTCCTACCCTTTGGAGAGACGATGCACTTGGCTCCTTGCTTGTCTACCTCACTGATAAAGCACTTGATGTCACCTTACATCAAAAATTGTCACTTCGCTCAATGCTAATTTTGAAAGATGGGAGGGAGAGAGAGAGATCTCCTGCCCATTGGTTCATTCGCCTGAACACCTGCAACAGCCAGGGCTGGCCCAGGTCCCAGCTAGGAGCCGTGAACTCTGTCTGGGTCCCTCTCGTGGGTGACAGGAATCCAAGGAGTTGAGCACTGCCTGCTGTCTCCTAGGGGTCCCAGGATGCACCTTTGCAGGAAGCTGGATTGGAAGCAGAGGAGCCAAGGCTCAAACCAGCCCCTCTGGTACGGAATGCAGGTGTCCCAGGAGGACTTCAGCACGCGGGAACTCTGCATGTCCCTGCTGCATCACTGCACAAGGGGCATCCCTTCATCTTTATCCCTCCTGGTCATATTGCTATAAAAAGTAATCTTCCCATCCTTAGTCTATCACCTCTGCTTCTCTTTTCTGTATTTCTTAAAGTACTTTTAATTGTTTCTGCTGCCTCAAGAAGAAGACCTAACTTGGGACTGAAGCTAAGTTGGTCCAGGAGCAGCAGGCCCCTAAATCTTCAGGGTTTCATCTGCCTTTAGTGATCGCCACATACTCTTCCTATCCCTCCCCTTCAGGAACCCTCACTCCAGTAAACAGAATGTTCTCAAGTCCGTTTTATTGTTTTTCAGCACTATTGTTTTCTTTTTCCCTTAAAAAAACAAAAAACCAAAAAAACCCACAACACTACATCACTGGGGCTGGTATGATGGCAAAGCAAGCTAATCTTCCACCTGAAGTGCCAGCATCTCATGTGGGAGTTGGTTTGTATACTGGCTGCTCCATTTTAGAGCCATTTCCTTGCTTGCATCCTGGGAAAGCAGTATAGGATGACCCAAAACCTTGGGACTCTGCACCTACATGGGAGAACCAGGAAAATCTCCTGGCTTCGGATTGGCTTAGCTCCAGCCATTGTGGAGTCATTTGGGGTGTAAACTAGCAGATGTAAGATCTTTCTGTCTCTCATTCTCTCTGTAAATACACCTTTTCAATATATATTTTTAAAACCCCTCTTTACAAAATCTACATTATTTTTGGTGTGGGCATTCAGGACTAGTGGCTAGCTGCAACTCGGGACTCCTGCATCCCATCTTGGAGTGCCTGGGTTCACGTCCTGGTCCTACCGCTATTTCAGCTTCCTGCTGGTGTGCACATCAGAAGGCAGCAGAAGGCAGCGCAAGCACTTGGGTCCCTGCCACCCACACGGGAAGCCTTGCTGGAGTTCCTGGCTCCCGGCTTTGGCCCGACTTGACTCTTGAAGACATCTGAAGAGTGAACCAACAGATAGAAGAGCTCTCTGTCTCTGCCTTTCAGATAAATGTAAATGTATTTTAAAAAGAGATTTACTTATTTTTATTGGAAAGGCAGATCAGATTTATGGAGAGAAGGAGAGACAGGGAGAAAGATCTTCTGTCTGCTGATTTACTCCCCAACCGGCTGCAATGGCCAGAGCTGATCTGATCTGAAGCCAGGAGCCCAGGAGCTTCTTCCAGGTCTCCCACACATGTGCAGGGTTCCAAAGCTCTGGGCCGTCCCAGGCCACAAGCAGGGAGCTGGATGGAAAGTGGGGCCACAAGGACACCAACCAGTACCCATATGGGATCCTGGCATGTGTAAGGTGAGGACTGGGCCCAAGAATGTTTTTCTAAAAAGTATACTTTTTACTCTGGCCATTGTGGCCTGAGCCAGTAAACTTCTCTCTGTAACTCTGCCTTTCCAATAAAAATCAATCTTTTTTTTAAAAAAAGTATACTTTTTAAAGTTTCACATGTATAATCAAGGGGTTCTAATGGCCTAAGAAAAGTTGTTTTGTTTTTTTTTTACAGGCTATATACCGAAAAAAAAAAAAAATTTAACTAAATTTATTTGAAAGAGAGAGATCTTCTATCCAGTGGTTCACTTTCCAATGCCTGCGACAGCCAGGGCTGGACCAGGGCAAAGCCTGGAACCCCCATTAAGGTCTTCCAAAGGGTGGTGGAGGCTCAAGTATTTGGGACATTCCAGCTACCTCCTGTGGTGGGCATCAGAAGCTTAGCTATCACTCCAACCTAAGAACTCTGATGTGAAAAGCAGGTGTCCCTAGCAGCATCTGAACTGCTGCACCAGTTCAAGGGCATCAGGTTAAAATGTACCAGTAAAAGGGCACCAGTGTGGCATCATGGAATAGCCACCAGGCTTGAGATAGAGGCTCTGCTGCCAACCCTGACTTTGCTGGGTGACTGTGGAACAGTCATTTACTCTCTGAGCATAAAGCAACTCCTGTCTAGCATAGCACCTGGTACAAAATAACTGCCCAGAGTCTGGCACAGTAGTCTAGCAGTTAAAGTCCTCACCTTGCATGTACCAGGATCCCATATGGGTACCAGTTTATGTCTTGGCTGTTCTACTTCCCATCCAGCTCCCTGCTTA